TCGAAGATAAAAAGGAGCAAGTGAATTATTTGAAATTTTGCACATATTCTGTTAGTCTAGACATACAACAAATTGAAAATTAATTTCGAAAAATTATTTCCAGTCTCATCATGTCAAAAAAACCCAGGGGAGTCCCTTTAAGGCAAGCAATTTGTAAATGATGATATGTAACCAGTATTTCTCTAATTGATCATATACACAATACAAGAAATCGCTTCGGGTTAAGATTCAGATAAACGTTTCGAAATATATAAACGCATCTCACTTGCAATATTTTGTTTTCCTTCTTCGGATGATTCAATATTACTATCTTAACTGAAGCGTCGGGAAAATTAATCATTTCTGTACTAAAATACTTATTTACAGTTAGTTTCTAAAAAAAGATAATCTCTGAAAAAAAATCTTACCTTTAAATAATATAAACGTTATGACATTGACAATATTCAAATATTTTATTCCGTTCATTTTTATCTTCATAACATTCCTTATAATCAATCGTTATTCATATGACAGTTCCACTCTTAAAACTGTAGACCGCAATCAATGCCGAACTGCATGACTGAGTTTGAACCATTTTAAAATTTGCAACCAATAATAATGCTTAGAATTGTTTTCCGATTGATTACCTGAGATAGCATTAAAGCAGCATTCCGAATGTCTGTGATAAATGGCACTATATTATCACATGCCATTGTCACTTTTGCGACTCCTTAGAAATAGTATTGTGCGTCCGTGCACATATTTTGACGTGACGTCATATTGCCGTAACTTTTCTTAACGCGCTAAATGATAATGTTACGCTACAGATTAGATGCTTCAATGAAAATGTGATTCATTTTAACCCGTAAACAATTCTTATTTTGGAAATGTGATGAATAGAATAGATATTATATTCGTTTAGGTTAAATACCAAAAATTATTGAACTTGTAGACAAGAAATAATATTATGCTAGAGGCTCGCATTCAATTTGTTCAATAGATTCAGTCTTGCACCTGCCCTTATTTAATATAAGTTAAACATTGTATATGAAAAGGGCATTCTAAAAAATGGCCGTCCTGTCAAAATAATTCAAAAGTTAGACTTTGCCTATGTTACGATTTCTTTCTTTGTATAAGATTATGCCCAGAACAATCTTTGTTAATGACAATCTGTAATATTGCCACGGCATAAGAATCAATTGGAGTGATTTTGAAAAAGCAGGGCAATGTCTGACCGCAGGGCGGATGTATGCATGGAAATCGCTCACTATTTCCGCCTCTTGTTAAACAAAACATGATTTTACGCGTTTTTTGGCAGAAATTACTAAATCTTTGAATTTACGTTTCTAAATGTCTCGTTTAATGCTTTGTCAAGTGGTCACAAAACAAACAAACAAACAACAACAAGAAACTAGATACAAACTATCGTATGTGTTTTAAATGGTCTTGTTTATGCGGTGAAATTATGTTTTACGCACATAAACAGGTCCTGCTTATGCGCAGAAAATCACCGCATAAACGATCCAATATACCGTTACATGTTTTCGGGGAAACTTAGATAGACTAAAAAATAAATACAAAGAAAAAGTCTAACCGATTATTTTAATTGTTACTCTTACAAATTCATTCACACATATCTTCACTTACGGGGCCTATTTATAAGACCGAGTTGAGTGGCATTATTTCATGCAGTCAGTTTTTATATATGCCACTATGTAGGCATATAATGACATTTCCAAACAACAGGACTAAGGGGTACTAAGTTATATATATCAACTATATATTTAATTTTACCATAGGTGAAAACATATTGACCAATAACATAAAACCCCATTAAAAATATATACATTTGTGGGACATATATCATTTACTATTAAAACCGGCCTACGGGCACTATGTTAGAAGGGTAGCCTACGCCCCCATACATCGTTTTAAACATGCCAGAGTTGCGAGGCCTTATGTATGTGTGAGAACGTGTGTATATTTGCGTTTATTTATACTCGCCACCGGTTGACCATATGGGCGAGTCCTCCAGAAGAGGATAAGTCATTTTAGATTTTGGAGGATAGTGCAATTACAGATACAGAAAGATGCCCAAATTCCAGAAGCTTCTCCTGGTTCTTTAGCGTGCCAAGTGTTTAAGCACTTATATACGAGACCACGAATTAAAGTCTTATCCGAAAGGCTTGTTAGTAATTTTAGTTGGACAGCCCGGGTATCAAACCCACAATGTCGAGATTGCAAGTATCGCGCTCATACCGATTGATCAATGTGGACTGTTTTATATGAGAAACCCGCTTTAAGTTATATACGAATGACGTCACTAGACACAGAAATGCACGACTTGCCATATCTCATTAAGAGATTTATAATCTATTATTTATAACTGTAATCCTTCCAGGATACTAAAACTTCACAGAATGTTATTAATGGTTTGATGTTCCAGTCATATTAATTGCCTCCATTTAAACATTTTCATCTAGTATATATTCATGCGTGAAATTAAAATTTCTTATCGTATCCTGATTATGTTAGACCTGAACTTGTTACAATTTGAAAAATTAATAAGTAAGTACTTGATGTTCGTCATCATGATCCCTAAAGGGTGAACATTTAAACCATCCTAAGATTTTGCTCTTTTAAACTAAATATTATAGACATACTCGTAAGTATCAAGTCTTTTTCAGTTTCGTTTTTAATAATTACCTAGCTTTGTCTTCAGTCCACCCACCAATTCGACATATTTCAGCCGAGTTTAGACTTTGTAATTGTAAACAAAACAAAAGAGAATCTAGACTTCGTTCCGTTACAAACTATAAGGGCCTGATGGTCCTCAAAAACAACAAAAGAAATTGTCCCTTAATCCGTTCATTCAGCTTCTCTTTTACCTGGCAATCTTAAATCCGTCAAGTTTGTCTACTTAGTGCATTTATTTCATGCTTTCCAGTGTTTTATTGTAATATATCAAATGGTTATTTTCTGATAAACCACTAGTGAAATTTATAAAATATAATTTTCACTGTAGCCGGACTATATCTGAATGCGGATGAAAAGAAAATCATAACTAAATGGAATAACAGGCAGAAATAAATGCCGTCATACGTAAATTTTGTGAATTAAGGAAAAGAAAGTCGATATCATCATACATCATGTTAAAAAATGTAACAAAATAATAGAAATTTAACAGAACTATATTTCAAAATTGATGTGACGTCATGATGCGATGACGTCATAAAAGAAAATGCGTGACGTTACGCGGCAAAATCAGTAAAAAATACTGAAAATCACTTAAAAAGCATGAAATAAAAATAAAATTTATTTGTTTTACATAAAGATTGAAATTTATTACATGCTTTTCGGTGGTTTATAGAAATATATCAGTGATATAAAACTGGTAATTTCACTGTTTGAAACAGTGAAATTACCACTTTGATAATTTCACTGTTTTGAATTTAAGCCCCTTACGTTGTTTTGGTGAAATACCAGCGTGCACAGAACTGGGTACCAACTTAATGACGTGACGTCGTAAATGACGTCACGTTGTATTATTATTTGGCGCGCTTTTCATTCAGTATTAGGTTTAATGTCTTTTTAAAACGTTTCTTTGCATATAATAAAAAGAAAATTTGTTTAGTTTAGTGTATATAATAAAAAGAAAATTTGTTTAGTTTAGCTGCGCCACTCGTGAAATATACCTTTTGGTGCTCACTCGGTGAAATATATTCCGATCTTACACTGAACTAAACAAATATCCTCTATATATTTCATTCGTGAACACCAGCTATTATATTTTCACTCGTGGCTACGCCACTCGTGAAAATATTGCATCTGGTGTACACTCAGTGAAATTATATTTCAATCTTACATGCAAAACAAACAAATATCCTCTATATAACAACTTTGTTATATTAACTCTATGTATTCAGCTCAATTCACTTCTATATTTGGTATTATCCTTCGTTATGTACAGGTCAATGTACAGCATTTTTAATCAATTTAATCAACTGATAATGTTAGCATGAACAATAATTGATTAACGATGAATGGGACTTACGAGCAAACCTGGTAGGTATACTTTCGGTGAAGAAATAAGTTATGGGGATTTAATCAGTGTTGATCTTAGCTTGTTAAGAATGGAGAATTCCACAGAAACATACTTCAGATATACATTGTATATTATGTTCTTTTTACTATTTTTCTGCATCTTTTAGTTTATTTTGTATCTATTTTATGTAACTAGAGCCTAGACGCATGTTTCAAACGATAAACTAGATTTGTTAATATATTATATTAAAATTGATTTCATGTGACATGTCAATCAAATTGAAATTCTATAAAACTTGTTGCGAGATACAGATCTATTTGTTAAGATAGACTCGTGAAATTATTTGCATCTACAAAATGCCTTTCAAAAAACACTGGATCCCATTGAGGTTACAATGTATACATGTATATTGTTTATAAAAGGAAAAAGCGTTCATACCGGAGTTATGTATGCAATAAGTCATGTGCTTTCGGCTTATTATCCCTTCGTCAGGAGTAAATTACATATACACAGAGTAAAGCACGCAATTTCTTTAGTTTTTTTGTATGTGCGTGCACACTGTAAAATGATATGAATAAAATGAAAATGATCAGTTTGAAAAAAAAAATATAAAGAACTTGGGCATGTTGTTTTGTTCTAAAATATACTCATTCTTCATAGGGTTCTTATTCCTAACGACTGGACGCTGATGATATGGTGTTGGATTTTAGAGAATTCATTATATTTAATTTGAATTATGCGAGATACGAAATATATATGTAAATATATTAACATTTTAAAATCGAGGTTTATTACACGATGCAATAAAGTTTTATGAAATAAACATTTCAACGAAGTGAGAACAAACACTTAACATCGATATTTCCAATCAATTGCATCTCTCACGTTAAACATTATGATCCATTTTTCATTAGCATATCTGCAAAGATAAATGTGCAGTAAATTGATCACCGTGGTTTTAATAACATTGACAATATTGAATCTTTTATGTATTTCATTTATTGGGGACAACAAGTTATTTCAGATACATGCAACTCAAAGTTGTAAAATCAATCTAAAAAGTGCATGAATTATTTATAGAAAACAGTTTTAACACTGAAAACAAAAGTGAAAATGTGAACAAACGTTACAATTAAATGAATAAAGTAGTTCGCGTCACTAAATACTAGATAATGCACAGCATAAATAAAATGTCATACAAAATAAACAAATCAAATAAAACAAGCTATGTTTTGATGTTTTGAAAAGCAAGTCTTGATGTATTTTCAAACACATTTATTCAGAATGGCGAATCTTTTTATAATAGTTAAGTCACGGAAGATAATTGAGTACATGTATATAATTTGCAAATGTGTGGCAAGATAAGTTTATTACTCAAGAAAATACAAACAACCTACTAATTTAAATCTGAAAATCTGAATCAATAAAATCCCAAAATATCATCCATAGTTCTAGGAGCGATGTTTGCCTAGTTCTGTTGTAAATTTTATCACTATATACGCCAGGGCTTAGGTATTTGATAGACGTAAATTTTAGCTTATACTATGTATGTATGTATTCTAGACCTAATGAGGGTCCATCCGCCCTTTCAGGTACTGAGAGTAAGGACCCCGATAGCTTATACTTAAATAGAACATTTTATAGCAATCAAATATCAATTTGTCCCTAAAGCCACTCGTTGTTGGTATATATTTCTCTAATAGCTCTTTAAAATAACATTTAACAATATCAGTATAGCTATGACACGTTTCACAGTCATTATACTTTATATTCATTTTATCTCTCCATGGATTCAGGAAAACTTGGTATAATTGCATGTCCATAATTTTTATAAAACCATCCAATTTCCCCTATCATATCACGTCTTGGTTTTCCAAATGGCTGATCGTCTAGTGCGCGACTAATATATGTCGCCGACAGAGTTTTCTCCGGCGAAACATCACCTATGCCCAAAGGTTGCCAATCTTTGAAAAGTCTTGGTCGGAAATCCCTGGTTCCATCTGGTCCTATATAACATATAAGCGAGAAAAGGTGTAAAATATACCAAGAAAAGTTTTTATTTTTAATATTTAAATAATTTATACAATGATTTCAAAACTATATAACAAAACTCACTACAGAGAAAATAATAGCAGTCGACTTACATGATGTAGGTGCTTAAAACGAAAACTTGATAATAATTAAGTATTGACAAATATTCAAAAAAAAGAAAGCAAAGATCTACCAAATATGCCGTTATGGAAATTCGATGCATTTAACATGGAGATTAATTAAGTTTATATATACTTCATATATACAATAATTAACATTACTCAGGTTAACATACGTAAGATACTATATCACAATATTGTCAAACATACTATTTTCTACTTAACATACCTGTCCACATCACCGGGCCTGCGTAAGGAGTCCATTCATTGTGTGGTTTCACTTCCGGTTTTGGATTATCGACAGTAACTTTTCGACCTCCTTCCGCAAGAGCATGGTTCCGGTCCGGTTTGGTGTTATCATATTGGTCATATTTTATCTTATCCCAGTGTGATAGTGACATTGTCCACAGTAGTAATAACGTTTCTAAAATTAATTTAAAAGACATAGTAAATTATTACGACGCCGACCTTCCGATTCACACCCAAGTCACTTGACTATAAGCTATCAGCCTTCTATATGGATTGTAAGTGGTTCAAAGAAAGGCAAAAGGGACAAAGAGACAATATTGGGATACTTTTCTTGGGCTAGAATTCATTTTTATAGCTCTAAGTGTCGGATTGACTTGTAGTAAATCCAGACTTTATATTCTGTAAATAATGATAAAGCAAAACCAGATATAAAATCGATACTTTGTTTCCAAATTTAAAAGTCAACTATCTTGAATATTGTGCATGATGAAATTAAATATGCAAGCTTAATGTCAACAATAGCAAACAAACACGTTTTCAAGGTTTATTTTCCAGACATTTCCATTGATATCTTACAATACAATGTTTTAGTTCTGTGCGTAACAGGATACTAAAATTAGATTAATCTGTGTTTAAATATTAATAATTAAAACAATAAACAATGATTCAATATGTTCCTTTTCAAGAATGCCGGAACTTTTTCATTAATAATTCAGCTTATAATATAGCAACTCAGCGCATTTATAACCATTTACGTGAAGAGTAGGTTGTTTATAATAATAATAATAATAATAATAATAATAATAATAATAATAATAATAAATACTGATTACAACACATTTAAAATAAAATACAATAAATTGTCTAAAATAATAATGTCAATACAAATCATAAATATACGATATCACCTTTACAATTATAGACTTAAATCTATTAAAATAATATTGTTATTTTATATTTCCGCAAATACAGTCAGGTGCAAAAAGTATTGGTGATTTTGGCGGCCATATTGGATTTATCTGAATCAATCAGTCATAGATTTCCTTCATATAAGCTAGTTACTAGTTTGCTCAAACTGCAAAAACTAATTGTTTTCTTACCTTAATACTCAGTCAAGTGACTTTTCAGTCTGATAACTGACATTAACCTTCTGAGTAAAGACAAAAACAGGCTCTGAACATAACTTGTAGGAATGTCCATTTATATCCTCTGAATTTCACTAAAAAGTTTGACATTGCTGTTGATTACATGGTGTCTGTATTAAATTTTCATTTGAAGTATAACCATGTATATTCAATAATATTAATGTCAGGTGATTGTGCAGGCAAAGAAATGGACTTTAAAATGCTGTCAGCTTTATATTTTTAAGTAAGCGAGATCTGTGTACTGGGGCATTATCATCTTGAAATAAATAATTACTATCAGGAAAATGTCTTACAATAACAGGCCAAATTTTATCCTGAAGAATGCTTTTGTACTTTTCAGAGCTAATAATAACTGTCACTTTTCTTAAAGTCCCCACTCCATGCCAGCAAATATACCCCTATCATCACCTGAAACTTCCTTTTGCTGTTAAGTTTTGGCCTGCCACTTCTTGGTTTGTTTTAAGAAGAACCACTGCACAAAATCTTTTAACAATATTTGACACAGTCATGCAAGGTAAATTTAGCATTTTAGTAATGTTACACACTTAATGTCCATTCTTATATAAATCCACAATGACTGTTCTTACATCCTTTGAGATTTCACTTCCCTTCCTACCCATTTTAGAAAACACAGAAAAGAACATAAACACTCAAAAATTTCCAAAGGTAAACAATAGTATTCTAGAACTATGATGTCATCAAATTTCTATGACGTCATATTTGGCCTTGAGAATGATGTAATTAGTTAAGAGAGACTAGCAAAAGTAACCAATTTCCTAAGCATGCGTCAGTTACTTCCCTTTTCACCAATACTTTTTGCACCTGACTGTAATTCTGTTTATAATTTAATTCACGGCAAATATTGTAAAGTTCAACATCATTTAAAAAATATTGAATTTACTATTGAGATTCATACATAATAAATAACTAGCTTACCGATTATGATCTACTTTCCATTGGAAAACATCAATAAACAAATACATCAACAATTTTAAGCACTTCCGCCCAAGGCAAAACAACATATCAAAGTAACGGTTAATGACGTCACCTTAAAACAATTTAATGACGTCTTTTTACGGGAAACAAAATAAGACGTTAGGTTTGGCGGAAATAGTGAAGCTATCTTAAATTGAAAGAGTCAAACAATGTCTACTATCGAAAAAATCAAACTATGAAAATTATGTGATTATTATCCCCCGCCGAAAACTTTTCGGCGGGGATATAGAAATAGTCTCCGTCCGTCCGTCCGTCCGACCTTCCGTCCTTCCGTCCGACATTTTTGTCCGGAGCATATCTCTAAAAGTATTTGAGTTATCAACTTGAAACTTCATAGGTGGATAGACCTCATTGAGGAGGAGTGCAGTGCACAAGAATGATAACTCTACCCTGCATAATTTTTGAGTTATTGCCCTTTGTTATTTTTCAAAATTGATTTTTGTCCAGAGCATAACTCCAAAAGCCTATGAGATATCAACATGAAACTTCATAGGTGCATAGATCTCACTCAGGAGGTGTGCAGTGCACAAGAATGATAACTCTACCTTTCATAATTTTTGAGTTATTGCCCTTTGTTATTTTTCATACTTAATTTTTCACCTGAGTGGAGCAAAACTCAAAAAGTTTTTGAGATATCAACATGAAATGTCATAGTTGGATAGATCTTATTGAGGAGGAATGTTGTGCGCAAGAATGATAACTCTTCCCTATACAATTTTTGAGTTATTGCCCTTTGTTCTTTTTCATGCTATTTTGTCCAGAGCTTATCTCAAAAAGTATTTGAGGTATCAACTTGAAACTTCATAGGTGGATGGATCTCATTGAGGAGGAGTGCATTGCACAAGAATGATAACTCTACCCTGCATTATTTTTGAGTTATTGCCCTTTGTTATTTTTCAAAATTAATTTTTGTCCAGAGCATAACTCAAAAAGCCTTTGAGATATCAAAATGAAACTTCATAGGTGCATAGATCTCACTCAGGAGGTGTGCAGTGCACAAGAATGATAACTCTACCTTTCATAATTTTTGAGTTATTGCCCTTTGTTATTTTTCATACCTAATTTTTCGACCGAGTGGAGCATAACTCAAAAGTGTTTGAGATGTCATAATTGTTTAGTTATTGCCCTTTTTTTATTTTTCAAAACTAATTTTTGTCCAGACCATAACTCAAAAGGCCTTTGAGATATCATTATGAAACTTCATAGGTGCATAGATCTCACTCAGGAGGTGTGCAGTGCACAAGAATGATAACTCTACCTTTTATAATTTTTGAGTTATTGCCCTTTATTATTTTTCATACTTAATTTTTCAATTCAATTTTTTTCTCAAAAAGTATTTGAGGTATCAACTTAAAACTTCATAGGTAGATAGATTTTACTGAGGAGGGATGCAGCACACAAGAATTATAACCTACCCTGCATTATTTTTCAGTTATTGCCCTTTGTTATTTTCAGCCATCAGTATTCACATAGGTTTCAAATCTGTAATCACTATAGCCATCAGTTTTCATTACCAAAAGACCTCTTAAAATGGAATTATTCTGCTCTACTAAATATACATTCTTCCAATGAGCAAACACATTCGGCGGGGGATGGCCATGTTGACATGGCTCTTGTTTTTCTAGTAAAATTAATGTTGATTAAAACACTTTGATTATGAAGTTGACCTTTTATTTCCCTGTGTACATTCCAGAGTATATATCTTAATTGGTAAAATAATCTTATTTATTCCCTCAATTTCATTTATGTGTCATTTTCTGATCTTTAACAATTCAAGGTTCTCTCAGGCAGCTGCCAGCAACTCTAATATTTTGTTTATTAAATGTGTTTTATATTTTGTTATTTTTACTTCAGGAATATCAAGCTATTGTAGATGCAGAATGGAAAATTTTGTATGATAAATTAGACAAGATTCACAAGAGTGGAGCTAAAGTAGTTTTGTCTAAATTACCTATTGGAGATGTAGCAACGCAGTATTTTGCTGACAGGTAAATCAGTTGGCTGATTTTTGTTGTGAACTTAAATATTCAATATTTGTGTGTGATCTAGAATCTTGTCAGATAGGATTGTTGTTTGAATAATTATTTACTTTGAGAAGACATATATATCATTTACTTTTTGTTTGGGGGAAATGATGTTTATGTTTATAAGATAGTTGAACTCCTGTTACATTAGAAGCTGTTTCCTCAGGTTAGAATGAATGTAGGTCAGGTTTACAAAACCTGGTAGTAAATATGCCTGTGTATAGGTAGTAAATATGTCAGAGTATATAGTAGCAATGTCTTGATATACTTACATACAACAGTTTATATACAATTATTTATATACAACAACTTATATTCAACAGTTATTATCCCCCGCCGATGGAATCGGGAGGGGGATATAGTTTTGGCGTCGTCCGTCCATCCGAATTTCGTTTCCGGAGTAGTTCTCTGCAACTACTGGCTGGAATTCAACGAAACTTTATGGGAATATCGTCAGCTTGTTCCGGTCCGACACTTTAATTCAGAGTTATGGCCCTTGATTAGTTATGCAGTATGCATATAGAGTAAAAATCGTTTCCGCGCTACTTCTCTGCAACTACTGGCTGGAATTCAACGAAACTTTATGGGAACCTTCAATATCAAGAGGGGATGCGCATATCGTCGGCTTGTTCTGGTCCAACACTTTATGCCCTTGATTAGTTATGCAGTATGCATATAGAGTAAAAATCGTTTCCGCGCTACTTCTCTGCAACTACTGGTTGGAATTCAACAAAACTTTATGGGAACCTTCAAGACCAAGAGAAGATGCGCATATCATTGCCTTGTTGGGGTCAGACATTTTAACTCAGAGTTATGGCCCTTGATTAGTTATGCAGTATGCATATAGAAAAATATTTGTTTCTGCGCTACTTCTCTGCAACTACATGCTGGAATTCAATGAAACTTTATTGGAACCTTCAATACCAAGAGGAGATGCGCATATAGTCGCCTTGTTCGGGTCAGACATTTTAACTTTGAGTTATGGCCCTTGATAACTTATGCAGTATATTACCAGAGCAATAATCGTTTCCGTGCTACTTCTCTGTAACTACTGGCTGGAATTCAATGAAACTTTATGGGATACGAAGAGGAGATGTGCATATAGTCGCCTTGTTCCGGTCAGACACTTATAACTTAGATTTATGGCCCTTGATTAGTTATGCAGTATGCATACATCTCATTGGCATTTCCAGATATTACTATTTAACACAGAGTTATGGCTCTGTTATTGCCCTGAATATTTATCAAGTTCAAAGAATATTACTGTTTATGCCATGATAAATATATAAATAAAGCCTTATGTTTTCAGTTGTTATGTTAGTAATAACCAGTACTCGGCGGGGGATATAGATTCAACGAATTTGCTTGTAATAAATAAATTTACAATTAAGAACTATAATTCTTACACTCCCCACCATGAAACGTTACGATTTCATCTTACACAAACAATAGCTTATTGTAATGTATACCTTTATGATTTAAATAGAACATTCTAGTAGGCAAAGTTTAGTTATTGGTCTTATGAATTGTGACATACTAGTTTTGACCACACAGCTTCGTGTATGCCCGTCCCGACCCACATTTATAGTTACAACCCTGCCCAATGGCCACTGCCCCCTTGGTATATTTTCCTGAGCCACGAGTACACTATCGCCCTCACGGATATCTCTTTGTGGTCTCAGCCATTTTTGTCGAGATTGTAGGGTAGGTATATATTCCCGAATCCATCGTTTCCAGAATATGTCAGCAAGATACTGAGCCTGTCTCCACCTTCTCTTTGCATATGTATCTTCTTTTCTAAAAATGCCACGTGGACTTTAGTAATAAAATCATGCTTGGAGTTAAAGCTGGGAGGTCTTTTGGGTCATCGCTTACTCGGGTAATGTGTCTGTCATTAAGTATTTTTTCAACCTCTGTTACAACAGTAAGAAGTTGTTCATCTGTCAGAAGCTGGTCTTTGACTAACGATCTCAAAATTGACGTGTTGATCGTATCATCCGTTCCCATATACCGCCCATGTGACTAGCTGACGGAGGGTTTAAGTGCCATTCGATTTCCCGTTGCCCCACTCTCGTATGGACTTGCGTAATTCACAATCTCCACTTACTAGACTGGTTCCGTTGTCACTATATACCTTTTCCGGTAGACCTCTCCGGCTAATAAATCGTTGGAAAGCGGCGATAAACGAATCTGTACTCAAACTATGAGTAACTTCTAAATGGACGGCCCTTGATGTTAAACAAGAAAAAATACACCCATATCTCTTTACTTTCGACTTTCCTGATTTTACCATCAAAGGACCAAAAATGTCTATGCCGATAAATGAGAACAGTGGTTTATCTGGTGTGATTTGCTCATCAAGCAACGGTGCCATTTGTTGCTTACAAAGTGGGCTGTTCTTGTGTTTACATGGTACACAATTCCTTACTACCTGTTTGACAGCGATATGTCCATTTATTATCCTGTATCTTGTTCGTGTAGCTGCTAAAACTTGTTGTACTCCGACGTGACCTTGACTTTCGTGGTAAAAACGTATCATTAAAGTAGTTAAATGATGCCGTTTCGGTAGAATGATTGGACATTTCGTTTCTTCATGGTAAATAATGCGTCCTTTTGTACGTATTAACCCATCTTTAAGTATAGGATTTAACGAAGTTATCGGACTTTCACCTTTAACATTAGTTCCTTTTTGCAAGTTTATTAACTCATCGGCAAAGCATTCCGTCTGAACGTATTTTAAAACTGCGCTAGAAGATGTCCTTAGTTCAGACAAGGTGAAATTACCTTTTTCAACCACTACATCATGATGCAGATATCGCTGTATGCAATAACCCTTGTATCTCAAAAACCATGCAACTGCACGTCTAAGTTTGAACCAATCAGAGTAGTATTCAATTATCTTCCCAATAGTGTCACAAGTGGTAACGTTAATAGCAATTTCTCTCTTTACCTCAACATCATCTTCACTCACTTCCGGGATAATATTACCTGAATACTTAGGCCAGTGTTCCCTACCTTTACTAAGAAATGTTGGTCCATGCAGCCAAACATCTAATTTGTCTGTTTCAGAAGCGTTGTATACATTTATTACGGGATAATGCGGCATATACCAAACACGCTTTTTCTCTGGTACCATGTGATCTACATCTGATGAATATCCATTCGCAGTGTAACCATTTACAGTAGTTCTGTACATATCATGCAAATTATTGTCACTTGACAACTTGCGCTTCAACTGCTGTAATCTGGCTTGAGCAAGCGGTATATTATTTACGAATGATGAATTTCCATCACGCCAAGGGAGGCCAATCTTGTAATGACCATCCTCGCGAGTTAAAGTTGACTCCATGGATTTCATAGCATTTTTATCTTCTACAGACATGCAACTCTTCACTTGTTGTGATTTATCATTAAAGTCAGTTGTCCACAAACGCTCAATTTGTTGCTGTAACAACATGTCACGTGACTCAAAGAAATTTATATTAATATCGTTGGATTCTTGCGTAGTTGGAACTGGACCGCGTATAGCCCATCCAAGACGAGTGCGTATCGCGTACGGTTCATCGCTATTTCCGAATTTCACTTCTAGCGGTATATGTGCAATAGGTGAATCCGTCCCTATTAACATCATAACGTCATTAGTGTCTATATCTGGAATATTTATACCGGATAAGTACGGTAAGTTTCGGATATCTGCATATTTAGCTGCAGATCGAGTTGATATCGGTAATGACTTTAGTGACCAGACTTTTCTAAGGTCAATACTTGCATTCCCATCGATAGGTTGAATATCTAAGTCGGCCTCCTGACCATGTATAATACCTTCACGTGAGTTTGCCGTAGACATCCGGAATGTGACGGGCTTACCGGTTATATTCAGGCTCCGTCACAATCTTTCATCACATAAGGTTTTATCAGCCCCATCATCTAGCAGGGCGTATGTCTGACAAGATCTACCGTCCCCACCCCTAACTATTACAGGAATAATACCCAGACAATTTTTTACAGTGCTGCACAGTTACACGACGACTGCACTGCTGTGTGGCCATTATCGGGTTTTACCCAACTATGTAACAAAATGTGGTGTTTTACATTTACAATTAGTAACATTACATATTTTTGGTGTTCTACACTTGTTCGCAAAATGTTTACCTTTTAAACAATTGTAACACAATTTAAGTGATCTTAACAGTTTATAACGATCATTGAGACTCATTGACTTGAACTTGTTACACAGTGATAACTCTGCACAGTTACCTGAACAACAAATGCATTTACTACTTTCATGACCGTCATGAGTAGTAACCTTTGGTCTATCATTACTGTAATATTTGCCAGAACTGTTTCTGGTTTCTTTCTTGATAAAATCATTGTTTTAACAAAGATCATAGCTATACATGGAGTTAGCGATACGTGATTTTTCGTCTACAAATTTAGACAAATCTGAAAAGCGCGGCATTCTACCTGACTCATTTATATAATGTGCTACTTCTACCCATTTTACCCTTATATGTGTTGGGAGCCGCCTAACAATGCATCTTAAATTTTCTGTATTATCAATATCAGAGGAAAATCCTAACTGAGAAAGTGAAATTTCACATTTCTGCATCTCTAAAGATAATTTAGATAGCCCTTCAACATCGGACGCTTTAATCTGAGCACCATTTACCAAGTTATCAATGTAAGACCTTGCCAATAAATGTGGTCTGCCAAATCTAGACAATAATATTGACCTAGCACGTTTATAACCTTCTTCCGGTTCTAACAAAACACAATCTTCTATACTAGATTTTGCCTTACCTGTACAATACTGAATGAGATAACTTAGCTTTAAATTATTTCACTTATTCTGCTTTCAATGTTTGTTTCAAAGTTTTTGATAATTTTGCAGTATCCTTCAGGCTTCCCATCAAATGTCAATAGTTCTGGCTTCGGTAAGTTGAATTCTTCATGGAGTGCTGACGCCAATCTTTGAAATGATCTGTCAATGTTCGATGTCTCACTGTCAACTTCCGGTATACACGATCTGTTTATTTCCGGTCTGGGCTGTATCAAAGTTTTATTTCTCACATAATCTGTACGGTTGTTCACCTGAATATGATCAGTCATATTATTTTGTACGTCAGGCTGAGCATTTTGATTGTTAGATATGACCCCGGTTTCTTCCTGTGTCGTTTCTAACCACACCATTTCTTCTATCTCTGCTTCTTCTAATTTCGACTGCTGATCTAGTAACTGTTGTTTCATTTCAAGATCCCGGCGAGCTCGTTCAAGTTCTTGTTTCTTTTTAAGTTGTTTTAATTTGTGTTCTGCTATTAAACGCTTTGCTTTAGCACTTTGTAATTTCCGGCGCGACGAGACTGAAGTACGTGAACTTTCATGGCTGACATTTGACTCTGCGTCATTTTCTACAGGAATATTTTCTCCATCATGCGGTCCAATAGCTCCCGCGATCCACTGAGAAAATCTTTCCCTGAATTCTTCAAAGTTTTTTAAACAGCTCTCAAAGTTCGCTTCCAAGTCTGCAACAACTTCCGGTTGCGCGCACAAATCTAAACATTGTAAATGCACTGATTTGAAATGTTCAAAGCGTTCACATAATTTATTCTTCAGTAGTTTTACCTCTTCTATATTATTGTAGGACATCATGCTCTTTTCAAGTTCATTATATAGTTTCGTCAGTTGAGCGCCATTTGCACTTCTTGATCTCTTCAAACTGACAAACTCTTGATTGAAATAATATCATTATTTACAGAAGGTAACACATGAAGATATACCATCGTAGAAAACAAATAACATATCTTAGTTTTAAATGTGGCATTCTAAACAAAATATATAAACAGAAACACAAAACATCGTAAAACAATAACAATTATGCATTTATATTTTGCCCTATAACCTTTGTTCCAAGGGTAAATTTCTCTTACCTTCTTGTAAGTATATTCCCTTTTACAACATGTATATATAACATTGTCTTAAATATTTAAATAAAACAAGTATTTCATGTCATTAGACATTTAATTATGGCTCATATTCCATTTAAAGTCATTGTCTTATGAAAAGCGATCCAACGATTACATTCAGTACTTTTTATAAAGCACAAGTTAACTGAAATTCTACACCAAAAATATGTACAGTATACATATTTTAACTTTTTTTATTTATAAAGTCATAGATCAAAATAATGGCAAAAAGTAAAAAGTCATAGGTCTTTGTTAACTATAATCGTAAAATAATCATTTGCTTATTTGTCATTTATTTCTGAAAGAATGTTATTTTATGTCTCATTGATAACTGCGAGGAGCACAATAAAAAACTGATTGAAAATGTGCTTTCCAAAATGTTCATAAATTACTCACATTAAATGCAGTTATTAATTGAAATAAAATCTTATATGTTTCAATATGATTTTTATTAATCAAGTACATGAGGAAAGAATTCATTTTTTCACCAAAATGAGCGTGAAGAAAAATGATTTATGAGCCGCGTCACGACGAAACCAACATAATGGGTTTGCGACCCGCATGGATCCAGACCAACCTGCGCATCCATACTGTTCGCTTAAAAACCCTATAACAAGTAAAGAAACTGATAGCGAACAGCATGGATCTTGATCAGACTGTGCGGATGCGCAGGCAGGTCTGGATCCATGCTGGTCGCAAACCCATTATGTTGGTTTTGTCGTGACGCGGCTAATATTATGTCATAGCGTCGCACGATATTGGAAACGTCTTCGGAATACATCTCAGCGATATGCACATTGATATGTATGCGGACAAACGCGTTGATAGATGGTTATTACTTTCATTTAAACAATTACAGTAGTATTGGCATGGTTAACTGAATAAAATGTATACACGAGATTCTTTTTTATTCCAAAACAAAATTTCAGGAATATAACTTTAACATGTAACTGCATATTATATGTAACTGTCAAAATCCAAAAAAGCACATGTTATATTTACAGTTGTACCTTGCAAACGACAAGTAAATACCCCTAACAATCTTGCTTCATTTGGCTCTATACCGATGTTATGGGTCTGTCTATATTTATGTAATGGGACTGTTTGAACCCTTAACCTGCCTGATTTGTGTAGTGGATTTGCCCTGGTTTTAATTAAGAGCATACCATTCAAAGTTTATTTTCAATATTTAACTACAAATATTGAGGTATCAATTGTATAGACACTGTCAGACAGCACGAATGTGCAGGCTGGTCTGGCTCTAAATTGATCGCAGAGCTAATCTTTTCTGATTCCAGCCGATTTAGGGTTAACGTTTAAAGCGTATACATCCTCCAAAGGGTTAAATACATTTGTAGGTTATACCGCCAATTTTCCAGTGTTTCTGCTTTAAAAAATCCAGTTTTGTTATCAATCATGACAATTCGGCTATATCTCTTTCATTTCTGTATTACATATACTATATTGACTCTCTTGAAATGAATAGTCTCCATCATTTTCAATTCTGTTTTTTTTTTCACTTATGCCTCGGAAACAAAAACATTTTTACATCTCTTGAAAAGGCAAATATGAATTTTATAATGTATAAATAATCCTTTTAGAGCATGTTAGATGTTTGTTATCTGAAGAAAGTAGAGCTAAATGTGAAAGTATTTGTCATAAAAGTAGCAAAATGTAAACAAAGAAGTATTTTGACTTCCGTTCAAAATACTAATTCACTATAATTGTACTTATGAATTCTATAAAAGTACACCAACATTAAAAAGCTTTTGAGAAATAAAAATAAAAACAATTCTGATGCATAATGTGCCTTTGAGAAAGTATATTATTCACCAGTCTCAATTTAATTTAATTTCTCGTATATGTACATACATTCAAGGTAATCGCAGTTGAATTGCAATTTTTTATTCAGAGTTGTCGATCTTGTACTGCTAAATTGCACTCGAAGTTGTCGTGGTTGCCTTGCTTAACTATTCAGCATTGCATTTCGTTGAGTGCAAGTCTATAAAGATTTAAGCTTACGATACCTTGTCGCAAAAGTTATTAAAAAAACGAACACACTTTATACTTTCTGCTTTAATCTCATAAACTTTTCTAAACAATATTTTCACATAAAAAGCAACACAAATATTTGGAGCAGTCGCAAATGTTTTAATATTTTATAAGGAAAACGCACCACATTATGATATACAACCCTAATGACAAATTTCAAACGACGATATACTTGTGCCTAATAATAAGCCTTTAAAATCATTCCAATATGTAAATGTTTGCATTAAACAAATCAGCTAAACACTTCTGTATTTGGCATCGAATAACGCAAGAAATTCAATCTAGGAATATAATTATATTATAAAGATTTACAACAGTTATGTGGGTATAAGAAAAATGTCAATTCAAGGCATGGTCAATCAGTATGGGCATTACAATTTGTTTTTTATCATAATTTTTTGATAAATATTCATAAACTAATATTTTACAATACAACAAATCAAATCCTGACAACTGCATTATTCTTTAGATCGCAAAAAAAAAAACGTTCATGAAGACTTTCTAAAGGTTAAATTTTGTGTCAGGAATATATGTATAAATTTAATATGTGTTAGTCAAAAGCTTGAGTAATCGTTAAAAATACCACCACCAACTAATCTAGGTATATATCTATACACTGCACACATTTCTACTCTACGACTATATCTACTTTACTATATCTACAATCACTGCAAACTCTCTATGTTTCTACTTTCACGGCACACGTTGACTAATCTTAATTATCTATTCTACTTTCTATTCTACTTTCTATATCTACTTTCACGGCAAGCTGGCTATTTCTACGTTCACTGCAAACTTCTATGGTCTACTAACACAGCAGTCGGTTATATATACAACCAGTAGGTCTGTTATGTTTAAAAATTAATGGAATTCATCTTCATGCCCAGAATTGGTATTCTTATACACATAAAACCGCATGTAAATGCATACTGTACTAGATCGACAGTCGTTTATATACAGCAAGCAGATTTCATTTATCACTCTAACAGAAATTCATTATCATGTCCAGCGCATAAAAAGGCAAGGCTAATAAAATATACTGGAGGTAACGGTAAAATTTATCTCTTCCTTTAGGTATGAAATGATATAAATATCCTTACAGTTTACAAACATATATGTATTTTCAAACAAATTACTGTACAAATTGCGACGCCCTTTCAAAGACAAATAGTGAGATACTCGTTTCTCATTCTATCAACATATCTTGCACAGCAAAACAGCAATATATATATCTATGTATAAATATATCTAAAAAGCATATGTCTACAAGTTTTAATATTTGAGCAAAAAAGAACACAAATTTCTAACTAAGACATTAATGAAAACAATGACTAAAATAAAACATTTCTAACAGGAGTTAAATATCATTCATTCATAACACCGTGATATAGAATCGTTCATTAAATTCCTTTCACTATTTTCAGTTTGTCATACACCCATCCGATTTCGCCAACTTGTCCATTTTTCGCCTTTGGAAACTCGGCGCCGGGTGCTGCTCGGTTAAGGTACCCCATTTGACTAGTAATTTCGGTAGAATTATCAGACTCGCCAACCAGGACAAATTCACTCTCCGTCTTCACTCGCTGATTACGTAGTCCGCTTGGACCTGTACAACAATATAATATTACGAAGTGTACATATTCCTTTATCCGATAGTAACCAAAAATGAAAACTTGTAATGATAATATTACTTTAGCTGCTGTTTTAAAAACGTATGTACAGTCTTAGCTGATGTTCAAGAAATTATAATATTGATTATCTAAATGATCTTGCTCAAGCAAAATTCACAACATTTTCCCACAATTTCTTTCAAACTGTGTTTATTTTCTATAATAATCAAATTGGTTGCATTATTGTTGTTTTAAAGAATACTAACGTTTAGTTTCGTGTGAGTGAAGATAGCAACCCGTCTGTGCTTCAGTATTTTGTAATTTATTCGTTGGTAAAGAAATGTCTTTAACATTTTCAGTTGAATCAAGCTCTTATTTTCGGTCTTTATAATATAAGTTTTATATAATTATACTCTAATAATATGACGTGCCGTTTGGCAAAGATAAAAGCTTCCGGAAGTTGAAAACAAGTTAATGTCAACAATATGTCACATACCAGTAAACAAGACCGGACCTGTGTATGCTGTCCATGTTTTATGAGAAGGTGTCGCTGGTGTTGCACGTGCCGTGATCTGCGACGTTGACGTCCTTTCGGTGTTTTCAGTCACATGACTTAATGTACTGTGAGTGGATTTTGGACGATCCATATTTGGATCGGGTGCTCTGCAAAACAGAAAAGGTCGATTTAAATCTAGGTATGCAAAGATACAATCCTGTTTAACGTCTTTTATACACTGATACAAAGAAAAGAAAAAGAAAACAAAAAAACGAAAATCAATTTAGGTAAGGTTGTTTAGATTTTCTTGTTGCCAATGATCTTAAAGAACCTGTAACTATGGAAGCGTCCTTGTGCCAATTTAACATGTTCTATAAAAAAAACATGTTACATTGGCACAAGGACGCTTCCATAACGCATTTTTTTCTTATCATGAATATGATGCTCAAATGAAGTTTTGTCAATATTGCAAATTCCAAAAGGCGTTATTTGTAAAGATATTACTAAATTTACATTTCATGTAAATAATGGGAGGTAATTATAAATTTATTTTACATAAAGACTAAATCAATTTTTTCAATAAGAAATGGAGGCATATATTTAAATGATTACTTATAATGCAAATAAACATTTGCAGTACATATTTAACATATTCTTAGATGTTTGTCAATTGTTTTAGAAGAATAATTTTATACATAAATATATAAAATTCACTTAAGTGTTGTTACATCCTTAATTACAACATATAGGATCTGTAAACGCACAGCTTTCAAGTTTTTTATTTTTCATGCTAAGTAAAAAGTATAAATTAAAATAAAACAATCGTCAAGTTATTATTTTTTTAATTTTAAAAATTTACCTGTTCAAACTTCAAACTCCTTAGTGCTTAACTTTCATTCCATTATATTGTAACAAGAAATCAATCCTTTACACTTTATAGTCTACTTAATAAGCTCTTTGTAATAAATGAAATATATTGCAACGTTTTTTTTTAATAATTTTATAGATCGATATTATTGGTCAACCAATAAATATGATACGTTTAAATACCCTGCAAAAATGAAACATTATCCGATTGTTAGGTTGTTAAGACCGTATTGAATATATGTATAACTTACAAACAGATATTTATAGTGTATTGTTAAGCCTTTATATGGACCATTGACTCTCAAAATGGCAATTATACTTAATTGATAAAGCGTATGTTCTTTGTGGGACAAATATCTAGGGTTTGTAAGGCAACTCGTTCGGCCTTTTTTTTTCGGGTCTGTAAATTGTATATGGGTTTTTCATTCTCAATGAATGGATAGAAGTCGGTGACGAATTAAAAGCATAAAATCAAATAAATATAACAAAAGGTATAATGTAAAAGCTATTCAGCGTTCTAAAATCCTTTGTCGATAAATGCATTCGAGCATATTGTTGAATGAAATGCTATTTGACTAATAGATTTATATCAGAGGAAAGTGTCTGTCTGGATTAATCACCAACAAAAGTGTGAAAACTTATATTTCATACATTTAGAAATGAAACCATATTGCTTTTATGCGCCTGTAATCAAAACCTCCCGTGAGAGATAGCAAGTAGATTTAAAAAACAATTGAACATATTTCATGTTATGATTGCACATTTTTGTATAATATCTCTTTAGTATCTGTTTTTCTGTACGCGAACATTATTATATCATGTTATAGATATGTTAAACCAGGTGTTATAAATAAGCAATGTGACCATATTAATGTTATACTTTCCAAATCGGTTATTTTATAACTATACAAAAATGTATCGGTATCATATCATTATTATATAATTTAATGGAATAATTACATAAATTTAATGGCATGATTACATAAATGTAATGGTATGCCAATAAACAAGAATAAGAATTATAAAAAGGTTTGTAATCGCATCAATTTACTGAACAATAGACATAAGTTTGGTCATCTAGCGCTCGTCCAAAAGACATGTAAAACTTAAAAGAAACACATGTGTGTATTCATTCACTCATATAGCCTATTAAAAGCTGAAAGTTGAATTTTATGAACAAACATGAAAGAGTGGGGATGTTCATCAAACATATAATTGTTTTTATTTGAAAAGTAGTCCGAATATGATTCTTCCTGTGCTATCATATAAATCATATCCAAATATAAATCATATCCCAATATAAATCATATCCCAATATAAATCATATCCCAATAAGAGAATCATATAGTTAATTTAAATATAAAAATTGGCAGAAAACCATGAAAAAAATTATGTGGCTTTGGTGTTCCCTTTTTATAGACCGACAAGGTCCATTTTTAATCATCTTAATACAAAAATATCGAACGAAGCTTCCCACCAACTAAGGTCCATATTCATTATTGCTTGTTTTCTCACACAGACACCGTTAAGGTCATACGACGACTTTTTAGATTTACTGCCGGAGAAAGACGTCAGGTGAACAAAATCATGCATTAGTTCAGACACGAGTGGACATGCGAGTACAATCACCATATTTGCAGAATAAAGGAACGTTGTTATGCAAATGCAGTTTCTAATTATCTCCATTTTTTTCATTCTGGAAAATGACCAGTTATTTATGAAATGGTGATTTTTGAAACTCTCAAGAATAGATCGTCAAACTATATCATTTTTAAAGTTCGGCGTTGTTGATGGTGCAAAATCTATAATTCTAACACTATCGGATTTTTTTTCTATATAAACAAAGAAGGCCCGAAGCGTGCATTATTCTTCAACAATACACTCGCCGTCCTGTGTATTTTCACATTGAGGGCGCCATTTTGTTTAAAAAATCTGATAAATAAAAACATTTTTTGTCGAATTTTGTTGTGAAAGCTATCTAGAATGAAAGAAAATGGTCTAACTAAGAAAATGAATCCGAACACCAATATCTTTAATTCAGTCTTTAACGCTGTACAGTTGTTTACGTGACGTCACAATGAAGCGCCAAACAGCACGTGCAAAACAATCAAATCAAGTACGCTATTTAAATGTCGCAAACGAGTTAAGTTTTACATTTATTCCACTTTTAATAATTTGTATTTCGCTTGAAAAATTATAAAGTGAAACAAAATAAACAAACAAAGTTTTTCCAACGTTTTCAAAATTCGTTATTCTTAAAATGTTTCTACACACGGTAGATTTAACGACAGTTTTTTTCAATCCACTGGAACAGCCTTTAAAGAACGTTTCTATGGGAAACTCTCAGGCGAAAACAAATTTAACCACTAAACATAAAGTCCAACTTTATAATAATAATTCTAATTTTTCTTGACGTGTTAGAATGGAAATAGATATTAATTCTTCGTGCATTATTGTATAATAATGCACGTTTTTCGTTCAAAAGCTTTGTAATTAATCACTCAGGCCTATCGGCCTTCGTGATTATATTACTACGCATTTGAACTCAAACCGTGCATTATTCTACAACAATGCACTCAGAATTGATATCTATTTCCTAAACAAAATTATATATATATTAATATAACGTATGCATGTCCGTCTGTCTTTGAATGCAATATTGTTAACATATCAGGGTATATCATTTTCCTCGGCAAAATCTTGCTTTTTAAACGGTACCGTTTTTAAGTTATTCATAAAAACGAATTTTTAAATACATTTGTATCTGAAGAATTATTGTGAGATATAATATTTGTGTGCCAAATAAAACATTCACTTAGAATATCAATGTAATATACTGGTCAGCTAATTACAGTTGACATGGCACCATTTACGTTAATATATTTATGTTACCATAGCCACACATGACAAGGGCTATTGGTTTTATTCTACTCTATTTAACTGCCAATGAAACAAAAATGTGCAGCGAATAAATATGTCTTATTTCAACCATATCAAGTACTGACATCAAACGAACTGACGCATGCGCAAAACATATCATTTTGACTTACTTTTATTGTTTTCATCATTTTAAGGAAAATAGTACTAAACGTTTTTACATCATAATCATATAGAAGAATCGATATCACTCTGGATTCGTAATCACAAATGTGGAATCGGAGGTTTTCATGTGTAGTAATAATTTAAATGGTGTATTTAGTGATCAAAAAAAGATTATCATCACAAATCGTTACTCTCTGTTTAACAAGGTGATGTATAAACATATTTAATCAGCATCACTTACTTGTCTGAAATACTCATAGTCATTTTATCACTATCCAATTCCCTTTTGGTCATCCGGCTTCACAATCATCTTGTAAACTAATGAAGCATCGGACGTGAGACCGTCTATATAGCTTATTTATGAAACTATAGACAATGAATACAAATTGCTGTCTACGTAAAAAATACTTTTGTCTAATATACATGCATTATCTATACCTATTATTTACTTTTTATTGTTTTTGTCAATGAATACGCATAAATTTTCCAAAACAAAAGACAATACGCTCAATGTTTAAATGGCCATATTACAAAAGGGACTAGATATTTCTGTTCAAAATAGATGATCAACCTGGGGAGACATTATTATAATGGTGTATTTGACTAAAATTCCAACGTGGAGTAGATAAGAGAATCAAGATTAGTGTATGTTACACTACGCGATAAGGGGATTTAAATACATAAAAATTGTAAAAGGTATTGTTAACAAAAAATGCGGTAATCTCAAAGTGGTGGTTGAACTTGAACAATACAAAAATCACCTCGTAGATTAACAGATTATTGCCCTGCGATCTCTAATGACATTGTCAGGTAGAGGTTTATTTAACCTTAAGCCTTTAATGTATATTCATATATCACCTAATCCTTTATTCATTATTATGACTTTAACTTATATCAACCTTGTCCTGCTGAGACCCATCACAGTAGCCTTTGAAAATAGTTCGGTACCTGGCCTGGACGAACTCTGCAATTCGAAACTGAAGCAGACGACAATTTTCAGCAGACGACAATTTTCCATTTAGTGCATAATTCTTTCATTCATTTACGTTTGAGTTTATAAAAAGATAAATAACAAGAGGGCCATGATGGCCCTGAAGTCGCTCACCTGTATATAGGCCCCCAGAGCGGGGCCAGTTTAAACCCCAGGGCTTTTATTTGAACAAACTTGGTAGACACCCATTAGAAGATGTTTCATGCTAAACATCTAAGGTCTAGCTGGTAAAGTTTTTTCTTTACACATATAGTTAAAAACAATGACACACCTAGGGCAGGGCCAGTTTTGACCCAAGGGCTTTTATTTGAACAATCTTTGTAGACACTTACTAGAAAATGTTTCATGCTTAATATCTAAACTCTAGCTATTCGGGTTTTTTCAAAGAAGATTTTTAAGTTTTTGCTATACACATATAAGGAAAATCAATGTCACCGGGGCGGGTCCAATTTTGACCCCAAGGCTTTTATTTGAACAAACTTTGTAGACACTCACTAGAAGATGCTTCGTGCTTAATATCTAAACTCTAGCTATTTGAGTTTTTTCATAGAAGATTTTTTAAGTTTTTGTTATACACATATAAGGAAAATGAATGACCCCCGGAGCGGGGCCAATTTTGACCCAAGGGCTTTTATTACAACAAACTTGGTAGACACTCACTAGAAGATGTTTCAAGCTTAGTATCTAAAATCTAGCTATTTGTTTTTTTCAAAGAAGATTTTTTAAGTTTTTGCTATACACATATAAAAAAATCAATGACCCCCTGGGGCAGGGCCAATTTTGACCCCAGGGCTCTTATTTGAACAAAATTGGTAGACATCCATTAGAACATGTTTCATGCTAAATATCTGAGCTCTAGGTCTTTGGGTTCTTTACAAGAAGATTTTTTAAGTTTTTACTATATGCATATAAGGAAAATCAATGACCCCCTGGGGCGGGGCCAATTTTGACCCCAGGGCTCTTATTTGAACAAACTTGGTAGACATCCATTAGAACATGTTTATTGCTACATATCTAAGCTCTAGCTCTTTGGGTTCTTTAAAAGAAGATTTTTTAAGTTTTTACTATATGCATATAGGGAAAATCAATGACCCCCTGGGGCGGGGCCAATTTTGACCCCAAGGCTTTTATTTGAACAAACTTGGTAGACAATCACTAGAAGATGCTTCATGCCAAATATCTAAGCTCTAGCTCTTTGGATTTTTTAGAAGAAGATATTTAAAGTTTTTTCTTTTGGTTGCCATGGCAACCAGAGTTCTGCATGGAATTAAATTCTTTGAACAATTTTCAAAGGTGACCACCAAAGGAACATTCATGTGAAGTTTGGATGAAATTGGCTTAGTGGTTTATGAGGAGATGTCATTTAAAGTAAAAGTTTACGGACGGACGGACGGACGGACGGCCGGACGACGGACGGACGCCGGACGAAAAGCGATCACAAAAGCTCACCCTGTCACTTTGTGACAGGTGAGCTAAAAAGAAAACGCTTGCACAAAATAATTTCGATCGTTTCCCACTTCATCATTAAATCTCTCAATTACATTTTATACGCCCTCTTAACTACAGGTTAACATTGAAAATTTTAGCGTTTCATACATAACTCCGCGAGCTCTTATATTTTTCTGGTCCAAGGATCATCGATTGTTGAGGACTGGATACTGCTTAAGGTGTTGCTATGTGGCGCGAGACGCACAAACTTGTAGAGTTTAGGATTGAATATTGCATAAGCCGGTGCAATGGGGGGGGGGGGGCGTGAGACGCGTTAAACTTTTCTTTATCTCTGGAACATTTAACCTGCTGGGTTGCGCAGATTCAAAACAGTTTTCTCAGCAACTACTTACCACAGCCTCTTGATATTTGGTATATGTATATAGCATTAACACATAGTCCCATGTTGTGGGATTCGATTTCAGGTCTGTCGCTCATCCACTTCCTGTTTACAGACTTAGTTAAATTTTCGACATTAATGGTCCATGGTAAATTTTTTTCGTAAGTTTTATCAGCAACTACTTATCACATCCTCTTGATATTTGCTATATTATTAACACATGGTCCCATGCGTTTCAGGTCTGTCGCTCATCCACTTCCTGTTGAATTTTCTTATTAATGGGCAATGATAGGAAATTTTCGTACCAGTTTTCTCAGCAAGTACTTAACACAGCCTCTTGATATTTGGTATACAACATTAACACATGCTCCTATACCATGGGATTCAATTTCAGATCTGTTGCTCAACCACTTCCTGTTTACCGACTTAGACAAATTTTCGACATTAATGGTCATTCGTAACATCACATCCTCATATGAAATGGATGAGCGACAGACCTGAAATCGAATCCCATGGTATAGGACCACGTGTCAATGTTGTACGCGAAATATAAAGAGGCTGTTATGATTAATTGCTGAGAAAAATGTTACGAAAAATTCCTACCATTGACAATGTCGAAAATTTAAAAAAGTCGGTTAACAGAAAGTAGATGAGCGACAGACCGGAAATCAAATCCCAAAGTATGGGACCACGTGTAAATGCCGCATGCCAAATATCAAGAGGCTGTGATTAGTAGTTGCTGAGAAAACTGTTACGAAAATTTCCTACATGTACTGTTGAAAATATTGAAGATTTAACTAAGTCGGTAAACAGGAAGTTGATGAGCGACAGGCCTGAACTTGAATCCCACGGTATGGGACTGTATGCCAAATATCAAGAGAGGCTGTGATAAGTAGTTGCTAAGAAAACTGTTACAAAAATTCTTCCCCGCCCGCCCACCTCCGGCCATACACCATACCATAACCCGGGTTTGCACCTGTCCAAAAACAGATCCCATTTTTACCTCCGTCATCTTAATGAAACGTAGACAATGTGCATAACACGTCGAGATTTCAAAATGTTACTAGGAATATATCAAACATAAAACAGACTACATCCGAGACCACTAAATGAGCTGGTTCTGTTGACATTTTAGTCCTGGATAGGATTTTGCCTAGTCAATTGGATAGGAAAATAAGCCATTTTGACCTCTTTCCACTAAGTAAACAATCCTGGAATGACCAAATTCTGGACAAGACCTTACCACAGTGACCTTGACCTATGAGAATGTACTAGGTGTTGCGTAATACATGTCTAATCTCGGCGATACAATACTCGACATAAATAATTCAAAATCTATCAAGGGATGATAAAAGTTATGAAACAAGGTACAAATTTAAATTCCATGTGCGACTGTATTCCAGTCAAATGTTTAAAACAAGTCATGGTATTTCTTTAAATTTTTAGTTTATTCAATATGTATATATCCATCATATAATACAAATAATCAACAGTTCTGTATACAAAATACATGTAGCACTAAACACTATACTATAGGCACTTGAATCTTCTTGCTAATACACAAACTCATTTTAATTCCAGATACTATTGCAATAAATAGCCATACGTGACTAACTAATAAAAGTAGAAAAAAATGATTCATATAAATCAGTATTGCAAACTTACATGGGCTATTTGATTGAAATGTTTATGTATTGAGTTTCAGCTTTTGCAAAAAATATGCTTTGTACTGGATTCACATCATTCACATGTACACAGAAACAATCAATGTTAATATTCCATATATAATTCAATTCCTATTTATGATCCACCCAACACTATGACCAACATTCAAATACATATATGAACACATCACATTGTTGGTCTCAAAACCTTTTAGTTATTTCAAATACATTGCACATATATATACGATCTGAAGAATTGACATTGTTGGTCCTAACCGCCATCAAAATTGAGACCGATACTTCAAACTTCCATGTATGACTGAAGAAAATGAAAATGTTTGGTCCTCACAAAACCTGTTCCAGCAAATATCCCTAAACTTTCAAATGTCTCCCATGTATATATATCAAATGGCACGCACAGTGCCTATATGTATATTTGGGCTACCAGTCTGGGTCACCAAATCTTAACATGAGCTTGTCTTGATCTGCAAGATCCTTTTGTACTTTCTTCCTCATGTAGAATATTGGACAATCTCGACTGAAAATATACAATATTTGAAATCAGACTTATAATACAGAAAATAGACGTCTTAATTGCAATTTAATCAATGAATTTTGAAATGTACATTTTTATCTTACAGAATTTTGATGATCAAGCTAAGCTTAGCAGTCTTCAGTCTAGCCAGTCTGTAGGGACTTCCAGCTGAATTGACCTTACCCTTTATATAACCTGCTGAATAATGTAATGGATTTGTTCTGCTTTTCATTTCGGAGAGTCAAATCAACTTATTAGGGATTTCAACATGACAATGTAACAATAGTTATAATTTATCACAAAATACACCAGTCACAAATGTTCAGTTGTATCAAAATAGTCAACATTTATATCAAAATTCCATCATTCATGATTGCTTAATAACTGGTCTATACTCTTATTTTCAATTTATCTGACCTTCGACCTCTATAACTTTGACTAAATGGACAAGAATTTTGCCCACAACACTTTGCCTAAAAATGTTAAACATTTCAGCCAAGTAATCCCTGTTATGTATGAAGAAATGTGACCTTGACCTTTAACTTAAAGACTTGGTTCACATACAACACTTCATCTCTAATGAACACTGTGTCAATAATCCAATGCCAATTAGAGATAAGAGTCTTGACTCTTAATATAAAATTTCTCGGTGACCTTAACATTGCATACACTGACCTGAATTACGGTGACAATACTTAGGTCTCATATAGTGATTAATATGTTTTGGTGGTTAAAACTGGTGACAAAGGTAAGTCACTGTGTATGTATACTACAATACCAAATTGTCCTTTCAAATATAAGGGCATTTTAATTTAAAAAACTCTTAAAACTTCAAATGACAATATAACAACCATATTCTAACAATGTTTTGAATCTCCAATTATCAATAAAATTTGTTTGATAAGGTTATAATAGCCATAAGCCATGTACAGATGTCAGGTCTTCAATCTAAAAACATCACTGTTATCACAAAACAATATCACAATAATATTTCCTATGTAATAAAACAGTAATTCAATATAATGAAATAGTTCACCTAGTACATAGAACATCCTCATGTAGACTACCCGAGCATCTTTGACATTGGGTCCACAGACGGGAAAACTTCTCCTCTAGTGCGTTCATCGTAGAAATCTCCTTCTGATAAATCTCTGATTCTTTACTCTTACAGTGTTTGCAAACAGCTCCTGAATTATATACACAAGTTTTTTAATGGATAAAGGTTTACATTATTATCCAAGACTAAATAAACGGGTAATTAAAAATAACTTTTCCACTAAATTGTTTCTTTGTTAAAAAACCCTATGTAACCAATCCAAGACTATGTTTATGAAATAGATAGCTTTCGAGAGAGCTGCGATTAATGTATTCAAAAAGGGGTGGGGTCTAGTCCGATTTTAGGTTTTATATTTTGTTTACCATGTGTAATTTCAGCGTTCAACAACCATGTAAAATAGCTCAGATTGTTAATTAATATTGCTTGTAAATGTGAAAGTCACTTTAGGTATTTCCAAATTAAAGAGGTGAGATACTGCCACATTTACTTACTGTGACACTTCAGATACCCTTGAAGTAAATGTATTAGGTAAAAGGGGGTACCTAAATGAGGACCACCAAACTCTTGCCAACTAGAATCATTTTTAGTTCATGTTTGGGGACCATGATCATGAGGAAATGCGTAATATGCCTGTGGTGCTTTATGTATGGCAATACTTAATCCTGACCACCCTTAATATCTTTAATAGATTTGTTCAATTTTTAATCTGGGTGCAAAACCAGTGATTATTTTTAGGTTACATTTCAAAATATATACTGACTAAATGGCACTCACTGATCATGATAGGCACAGGTTACATGGGTATTATCTACTGCCACCAGCAGGCAAATGGTTTAGTCAGACAAAAACTGTAGTGGTCAAGCAATTACTTTCAAGCTTTACTGGTGGAGAAATTGATAGATCCCTACTCTGACCTTTTATTTGGATAACAATAAACTTAACCCCAAACATAGACATGTGCTCTGTTGTTAAGAAAATGTTATGAAGAAATTCTTATTGTATCCACTTATCTGATAATAAGAATTAGACAGGTCAGGGATCTATGCATACCTCAGAGGCCACTTCCATTATCAATTCAGGGCACAACAGAAGAACAAATGAGCTCTTGAAAGCTAGCTGGATAACTTTCCTACTTGAAAGAATTCAAGGTTTTAGTCATGATAAGAACTAACAACAGTGAGGTAGCTACATAGATGGATTATTTTATATATTCAAACAATTTTTTTATCAGAAGAAAACACATATTAATTCATTTCAGACAGCATGGATGTACAGATTAATATGGCTTTATACTGGCAGCATAGGATTGCAATAGAGGCCACTAACACTCCAGAGATTAATAACAACCTCCAAAAAACACCACAAACTTACCATCATTATCTAGAGGTACTTTGCATCCTATACAAGAACTTTTTTTCTTAGCAAATGCCATCAAACCTCCAACCTTTGAAGTTACCACAGTTTTTGTTCTAGTATGCTCACCCTCTGTAAATATATTTAATAACCAATGAAATGTCTGAGGGTGTTGTAGAAGTGTCTGTGATCTTCTAATTTACTCCACATACATGTATGACAGAATATAAAATACTTTAAAAAGTATACTTCAAGTGTATATAAATATGATTATGCCTTATTTCTATATTTATAACCCTCTTTTTGTTTTGTCAACATTACTTGATAGTAAAATTCCCTGACATTTTCTGTATTTCCAAGTTTCCCTGACCAATTTCAAATTCCCTTGACTTTTCAGTACCTTAAAAAAAAGTCATTTTTCCCCCCGACTTTCCCTTGATTGTTAAAAGCCTGTGTGATACTTACTAAGAAGTACAGATTCAGCTTTCTTTTCTCCTATAACAGGTTCAAATATTCTCAGTAAAGGTTTAGACAGCTGGTTTTCTAGGTAGTACTGTGTATCAATAGGTATATTGTTCTCTAATACATATATAGGATCCTAGAAATGACAAAAAATATTATTGATATCTTTTTTTACTAAAACAGAACTAAACAGATCAAAGATTTCATATTGCATTTGTACACTAAGTACATCATCACAAAGTATATAGAACAACTTAAAGAATTAACTATAAAGTCACAAGGAGTCAGCAATATTACTTGTCAAATACATGTACTAATAGAATATTATTTTAAACACTGAAACACAATTTTCTTTTTCAACTTAGTTTCTAGATACATGTAATAACAATTATCAAGAGCTCATGTTCACATGTTTTAAAAATATTCAAAGTCAACAATTTAGGTTGCTATAAAAATTAAGAGTTAACTCCCTTGTGAAATAGTAATTACTTTGTTGTTAATGCTTAACAATTGTGACTTATCAAATGCATTCGCTATGTTGACTTTTTGACAGTATGTGGGTGTTCATTTCTATATTTCAGTACATGTGTTTATACAAATTAAAACATATATAACACAATACCTCTGACTTGAGATATGCAGCTGTTTTCTTAGCAGCAGCCATGATAACATAGGGTACTCTGTCACCTAATTGTGGAGCACTGCCAGGATCTCGTTTTCTCATTCTGTAAATCAAACATTTGTATATTATGATTAATTTTTAACTTAAAGTTTATGTAATTAAGTCAGGAATGTTTTAATGATAGCAACAGTAGCCTAGCAACATAGGTAGCCCACATCAAAGGAATGGAATGTCTAATTATAACAGTTCGCTAAAGTTGGCAACAAAATCCCATGAAATCAAGAATTATTCAATTTTAAAGTTTCCCTTTCTGTTACAAATGCTGCAAAGTCCATCCCTTGGCACTCAAGAAAACCCATGTACCAAACCCTTTCCCCTCCCCGTTTTACACAATGGGGTCCCTGGACTTGCCTGTTAGCTAGTTCCACATGAGCTTGTTTCCCAGCATAGTCATCTTCTGTCTTTGTTAATTCCTTTGTGATAATAAGATTTGATATATCTATTCTGTTACATAGGAGATCAGATATTGTCTGCTTAGCATGTTCTATGGCTCCATCTGGGTTCCTGAAAACAAAAACAAACAAAAATTATGTTTATGTTTGATAAATCATACAGCTTATATCTTTAGGCAGCCAGTAACAAAATTAACATTATCATACTTTATGATGAGCAATTGAAAGATATATCATGAAACATATAAATCATATTCATATCAAACTTGAATTTGATTACCATTTAAAATATTATTCTGCTCATTTCAGTAGGGTTTTATCCATTTAACAATGATTTTGTGAACAAGCCATTCACTTTTAAGGCAATTTACTACCACATTTATTTCATACAAGCATTTTGGAAGTAATTTTTTTTCTCAAAAATTCAAACATAATTTTTGCAACAGATATATTGCTGTACACACTTTAAGTAACATCAACACCTTTGCTGGTGAAGGAAAACCTTAGATGACTTTATTTCTGGCACAACCTGGCAACTACCGTCAAAAAGCCAGATGGAAAGCTTTGTCAGATGAAAAAATCAAAAATACCCCTGTCAAATATATCTATGTATCATAATCATGTAGAACATTAATGCAGTATTGTCTATACAAGGGCAAGTTTCTATGCACAAAAAATGTTTTCATTAGTTTGAGGGCTTGGTGCGAAAGGGTTGTAACTCATAAATAAAGGAGTTGCGACCCTTTCACACCACTGAAGTTGTCCATTTATCAAAATAATGTATTTCGCTGAACCAAACTAAATATGATCTAAGAAATCATTAATATCAATATTTACAAAGAATGAAAAAAAAAAAAACAAACAAAAAACAAAAAAAACAAAAAAAACAAAGTGGCTTCACAGTTTATCTTTGTGAGCAATGATTTTACCTGTCTATGAGAAGAAGTTGTAGACACTGGTTGATCAGGTTGGACACTAGAGGACTGTTGTCTCTACGTACTGTCTCCAAACCTTTACAATCCATCTTGTCATATTTCTGAGGGTTTGTCCAGTACAGACCGGCATATCTCTTCTTGTTAATCAACAGGTAAGGGAAATATACCTGGAAATAAGTCAAATGATACCGTCATTCAATTCAATTTTCTCTGTTCTTCCTGAATATGTGAACTTCTAAAACAATTCAGACTTCCATATTCTGGAATATGAAAACTTCCAGAGATAATATATGAACTAGAACTGTGTCCAAAGGACACCAATGCCCCCACTGTGCAGATGTGCACCGATTTAAGAGGAGTTGCGTTCACAAAATTTCTATCTGGTATATAGTGAAAAAAGCAACAAAGGGCCATAATTCTGTTAAATTTGGTTGCAGTAAAAATTCTTTCCTTTACCCATCTACACATTAAGGTTGTTCATCCCTGGAAGTTTAAGCAAAATCTGCCATCCAGTTTAAGAGGAGTTGTGTTCACAAAATTTCTATATGGTAAATAGTGAAAAAATCAACAAAGGGCCAAAATTCTGTTAAATTTGGTCGCAGCAAAAATTCTTTCCTTTACTACCATCTACAATTTAAGGTTGTTCATCCCTGGAAGTTAAAGCAAAATCTGCCATCCAGTTTAAGAGGAGTTGCGTTCACAAAATTTCTACATAGTATGTAGTGAAAAAATCAACAAAGGGCCATAATTCTGTTAAATTTGGTCGCAGCGAAAATTCCTTCCTTTACTACCATCTACACATTAAGGTTGTTCATCCCTGGAAGTTTAAGCAAAATCTGCCATCCGGTTTAAGAGGAGTTGCATTCACAAGATTTCGGGACGTACGGACAGACGGACAAGTGCAACGCTATATGCTCCCCACTTTGTGGGGGCATAAAAACTTTCTTGCACGAAAGAATAAAAATACATAGCTGCTGTGGAATTTACCTTTTGATTTACAATTAAAAATACAGCAAAATCTAAACTTAATTTTGATATAGTAAAAAAACCTATCAAAGACTTCTGATGGTGCAAACAGTAAGTAATTTAACTATTCATGGTCTCAAGTTGTCACTCACGTTATTGGACAGAAAAATAAAAAGACTTTTGAAAAATTCACAAAAGAACGAAAAATTCAGAAAATTTATTTAAGTGCTTCAACCAGAAAATAAAGCATCTGAAGGGTAGCGGTGGCCTAGTGGTTAAAGTGTCTTCCTATCAACCCATAGTTCATAGGTTCGAACCCTAATCTGGTCATGACCATGTTTCTTCATATAACACCTTTACTGGTTGGTTCCAGGAGGTGGACTCGAAAGTGATTTATATAAGTTGCAAGAACTTGTTTCACCATCGAGCTTTAAGAAATATGTTTAAACCAAATAAACATGTAAAATTACCTTCTCAAATTCCAGTTTAATAGGTTGGATGAATTTTCCTGAGATATAATCTGCCGCCTCTTGTCCTAACTTCATTGCCTCCTCTACTGTACTTACACCAAACTTACACATCACAGAATCTGTGTCTCCATAGATTACCTATATATGTCATAAAGTTAACACATGGATAACCTATATATGTCACACAGTTAACACATATAAATTAAATAACACATATAAAACTCATTATGCCAAGAAAATATAATAGACCAGGTTCCAGTATCCACTCCCAGACAAAAATGGGTTGGTTCATAGAAATATCTTGAGTGAGACTAAATAAAGGATTGGAGCACCACACTAAATACCGTATTCCGGTATATACCGGACAAGGCGCTTGAATCGTAAAATGCCAAAATCTTGCTTTTTTACGCAACGGAATGAACTTTAATAGGTCTTATTCATCTTTTCACACTGATTTGTGTATGATAATGCATGAAAAATGTTAAAATCAGCGAAAAAAACGATATTTGTCTATTTTGTGATCATGATTTCTGCAAGCGTCTAGAGGTACTTCTCCAATCCTGTATTGAGCTAAATCCAAATATCTTTAGTAAGTGTAACAATTTAACGAGTTGAAAAGCTTAAATTAAATTTTACCATCTAAATAAGAATTTAAACATTCTGCTACTGTCTATTAAAAAAAATATGACAAAAGTTTTATCTTCCATTGGAAGGAAATTTTTTACTAAATCATGCAGCATATTGGTTTAATTATGTTTTACGCAAAATGAAATGAGATTACAAAAGAAGATGACATAGGCATAGAAGCAGTAAAACTAGAATCTGCCATTCCAGTTGATAGGCTGAGATTTGTAACATTAGGCCACAACTTCTCTAAAGGATGATTCCTTTTTTTGTGTGTGTGTTAAACAAATAAAAATATGACTAAATAATAATAGCAATTTCAATCTTACTAAATCTAGTTATTTCCTTTAAACAATAAAGAACAATTTACCTTTGCATTGTGTTTATATCCATTCTCTATTGTATATGTCTCCTCGACATAGTTCTTAGTTTGTTCAATCATCATTCTACCAAATGCAGTCACACTCTATAAAATAATTCATATCTCCATAATAATGTATTGTAAATTATTTATTATTATACAACATTTGTACAATGGGCATATCCATCTTTTAATTTGAGACAATACATTGTAAGGTTTGTCATTCAATATCAAAATATTTTACAGCCAATAGTTTATAGTGTCTGGTAAAGCTTAAAAAGAATTGCACACTGGTATGGCACTTTACTTGTGGCATGTATCCAAACATCGAAAAATATTTTCAGAGTCACTCATCGTGCAGGACGAGTAGCTTCTAAATCCAATGTGTAGGCAACATTTTTCTACTCGTTCTGAAATACATCTCGTAATCACGAGCGGACAAATGGAATTTTCGATCTCTGTTATTTGTCATTTCCTTTAAAAGTGTCCTAACAAATGAGTCCTAGTCTTACCCGATTAACATAAAAATTTACTAAGTTACCAAAACGGCTTAATTTAAAAAAAAAAAAAACATGTCTGAACAATTGGGCTGGTTTCAAACTTTTTCTTACTTCACTCCTGTCACATTGAAGCTGGCATGCTGTTTCTCAAAGGATAACTTATTTTCAATTATTTTCTATCTATGTTACAACATTTTTAAAATAATTCAATATCAAATTACTTGGTAAAGAATGCAACTTACAACCTCTAATTAACTTATAAACTAAATCATATAATAACTTACTGACGAGATTTCCAAGCAGGGTAGTTTACCGACTTGTGCACCAGTAAAACCATACACAGAATTAGCACTGATCTTCAAAGCTAACTGTCTACCATCTAACACTTTCTTCTTGAATGGATCTGTCTCGTTCTTCAGATCTGTTTTAGCCCTACAAAACAATGATAAATCATAACCTTTTTCATGTCAATAGTTGTATTTTTTTTTGGTCACACCAACACTGTTTAAGACATATGACATGCCAATTTTACTAGCACAGGAAGACTTTAGATGTTGCACCCTACCTGTATCGTGTTCTCAGGCACCTTAGTAGAACCACCCACCTTCTGTACGCTAGCAAGATTGATTCATAACATTCATTATATGATACAATCCCAAAGTCCCTAACATTATATACTTTTATAATTCTTATACATATTTGAAGTAGATACCTTAAAAAGTAAAGAAGTTATAATATTTCTAAATGAAAATTGTAAGTACAAAGGGAGATAAATCTGAAAATATTGCTTCAAGAATTTTGAACCTTGTTAGGTAAGATGTGGTTGATGATAAGGAATATGTATTTGAAGTTTGAGGTAGATACCTTTAAAACTAAAGAATTTATAGTAAAAAAAAAAACATTTTTCAAGTAAAAAAAATCTTTGTTCATGGGGAGATAATTTTTGCAATATTGGTGCTAGAGTTATGAACTCGTCACATAAGATGTGGCTAATGATAATGAACATGGGGAGATAATTTTTGCAATATTGGTGCTAGAGTTATGAACCTTGTCACATAAGATGTGGTTAATGATAATGAACATATATTTGAAGAATGAAGTTGATTCCTTATGACATGTATTAAATAAAGAAGTAACAGTAAAGAGTAATATTTTTTAAGGAAAATTCTAAGTTCAAGGGGATATAAATCTGAAAATATTGGTGCTAGGATTATGAACTTTGTCACATAAGATGTGGTTGGTGATAAGGAACATATATTTGAAGAATGAAGTTGATACCTTAAGAAATGAAAAGGTTATAGTGAAAAATATTTTACTGCACCAAAACTTTATAATCTGAAATCTGGACGCAGACGCCGGGTGAGTAGGACAGCTCTCCATATACTTTGTATAGTCGAGCTAAAAATGAGGACAGCTTACTTCTTTCTTGCACCCAGTAGATGCTCCAAAATTTCTGGGAGTAGACCTTTCCTTATTGTGGACTTCACAAAATAATGTCCACATGGTGTCTTTATATACTGATCAGGGGTCAACCTGTAAATTATTAAAACATTCTTATAAAATATAAGTTTAAATAGCACTTTTTTTTCCCAATAAACATATTATTTTTTATCATTTGACTTATCGCTTGCTTATTGCAGTATTTATTCATTCCATCAAATATTTTGTTCCTTGAATAATGATTTATAGTGGTGTTGTTGGTAGTTTTCACTCCGGATCACGGCAGTTCAGCCATCAAATCATTCCTGGGCAAGCTATAGAGCAGTTTACCAGTATTAGTTGCCTTCACTTTTGCAATGAACTGATAACTTCTGTACATGCCAGAGGAGAGGTACATTGAATTACCATAGAAAGGATTTCATGATCAGTCACAATGAAAATGTTTGTTTGTTTGATCAGGTATTACGTCACACTAACACAGTATAGGTCATTTGGCGATTTACTGTTTGAGGAAGACCTCAAGTGCCCTTCCGTGCATTATTTAAGGCATGAACGGGTACCTCAGTAAAAACCACCGACGTTCCATATGCTATCTGGATAGCTTCCTCACATGAAAGAATCCAAAGTCCCTGTCGGGATTCGAAACCCACAGCGGTGAAAGGGAAGTGGTTTGAAGTCAACAACCTAAACTGCACCCTCCGGGAAATGAACCTGGGTTGCACAATTCACAGTCCAACACAATACCTATAGAGGTAACTAGACTGCTAAATATGTTTTACAGGAATAGCTTACCCTTCTTTGTTAATGGTGTTCTGGTTGAGTAGTGAGGTATAACACAGGTTGTGAGCCATCATAATAGATGGGTATAGTGAGGAGAAATCCAGGGTGGCTATTGGTAAATCGTAATAACTGAAATAGAAATACATAGATCTGTAAGTTTGCATTCTGACATAGTAGAAATATGATAAAAACTGTTAGTAGAACATAGCATGGAACCCAATCTATTATTGATGTTCTTATTTTTTTGCTATGTCTGCATTGAGTCAAAATTGCGAACTTTCTTAAAGTTTATGTGAACAAAGCAAACAAATTTAATGTAAACTTTGCATGTTTGATTGAACTGGCTCAAAGATGTTTAGGGTTAACATTGCTTGACCCCACATTACCAAATATTTTCAGAATACTTCTATATAATAGAAGTGTAATAACACAGAGTTCGAGTATACATGTCAAACAATGAAAACTGATTGTTTAGAAAAATATAAATGGAGTTTATACTAATTAATACTTATATCATATTTATTAAGATAAAAGCTTCAAGCATATCTTTATCAAGATTTCTTATTCTAAAAGTAAATCATTTACCCTTTAACAGGTTCAATTACTGTGGCACCCTCATATTCATCCCCAGGATCTATTTTCTGTGCAGGTATCAATAGATCTTGCTCCTTTGCCTACAATGTCAAAGCATTCCATGGTACAAAATAGTTCAAAAATCAAGTGTAAAACATTATCATCATCATTTCCAGCATATCTTTTTTTAAAGGAGGACTTTTGTATTTATAAAAGATTTTTGTTTCGCATCTTGTATTATAAAATTTTTTTGTTTCACATCTGGAATTATAATTCATTCATGTATAGGAAATGTTTTACACAAACATGAACTTAACAGTTAATACATACTCTTCTAAATGACTTAAACTAACATATATTAACTACTTTGAACAGTCAATACATAGATAAAATTTCTGGCTACCACTGATATAGTGTCAAGCAAAATCTTAACAAATAACAGTACTTGTAATATATAATACATATGCTGAATGCAAAATCTTTCAAGGAATTTCCAATAGAACCAACAACAGTTAGGGGGAATTCATTGGCAGTAGGCCACTTTAACCTTTTTACCATTAATGTCCTCTTGTATATCTCCCCTAAGCCATGAGGCACAATTTTATGTAAATTTAATGAAAATACAAATTTAACATAACATTACGGAATACACACTTACTTTTCTTAACAGTTGTGAAATGACCTTGATCTGTTGCCCTCTAGACAATAAGTATGTAAGGGGGACACCTGTAACCCTCGCCATCTCCATATAGTTGATCACACACATAAGTTTATCCAGCAATCTTATCGGCAATATGGCGTCCTTCAAACAATATACTGCCAGTCGACGCCTTGTCTGGTCATTTCCATGCTAAATACAGAATTTATTTTTTTTTATATAAGATTCAAGAATTATTACATTTATAACGAATCATACTGTTACTTCAAGCATTCTATTGACCATATTAAATTCATTCAACTTTCAGCTTCATGATAAGATAATAAATTAAAACAGGGAAGGGAATGTTTCTGATTCAGTTTTTTTGATGACAGCATTGGCATAGTGGTTAAAGGGTCTGGCTCCAAACCCAGGGATCATGGGCTTGAACCTTACTGGGGTGAAGACCATCTTCACCACATATAATACTAATTCTGGCAGAAAGCGAACTCGAAAGAGTTGTTGAAAAAAAAAAGCTTCAAGCTTTCAATATAAATCATGATAAAATAAGTATGATTCTTATTTTAATGCTCAGTCTAACTACACACAATATAGTTAATTAATATGAAGAAATAAATTCATTCTTTGTTTTGATAATACTGGTCACTATAACATTTATGTCATGCACCTAGACTATAATGTTAAATCATAATGTAAGGTAAATGCTTGAAATTCATTTCCTCATGTCTGTCAATTGCTTAACAAAATATGGAAATGCCTTAACTCCTCTTCAAAAGAATAAAGGCATAACTTTTTACAAGATGGATGAATGCAACATTAGCTATTTACAATCTTATACCAGGACAGAGATCCTGAAAATATCTAGAATATCTAAACAACTCTTAATATCTTAAAAGCATCTCAATTTTGTTTTACCTGTAAATCTGTAATAATGGAATGATGTACGTCCTCTTTTTGTTCTTGTAGAAAGTGAAATGATACGGCGTTCAGAGAATAAGATCTCAACTTGTAGTCACGGAACAAAATCTGAAATAATGAAAAATGTTACACAACAATCACCAATAACTATTTAAACATATTTACAAATGGTAACTATATTATTTTTCATAGATTGTCAAAATTATTTAGTGAGGAGTTGTTACTGTAGTGTGACTAGCCTGGAACAGAAACTAACACTTAAGGTTTTCTCACTGTAATGCTTTCCCGCCAAAAAACTCTTTATCATCGGCCAATATCGTAGCAAATTGGTTTTTCCGGTACATTATTTTTTCAAAATCTTGGATATTAGATTACTTACAATCACTCATCCTTTATTGCATTGTACTTAATTCCTGTTATGAACGATTACAATTCTTGAAAACTGGAGATTGTGGAAAAAAACCTGACCAATTTATTACGATTTTGGCCGATGTTAATACAGTCTAACTTGCCCATGCGACCACGTGTATTAAGCGACTTTTGTCTTAAACGACCACTTTAAATTCCACCCGATCATTTTCTCTCTATATCTTTAATGTATTAAGCGACTTTTGCTCAACGCGACCAGCGACCGCTAATTAGTCACCTAATTGACATCAGTCTTTTCATTAAACGACCACTTTTACCTGTCAAGTAATTGTGTTTTAGAGAACGCCACCTCGTTATGTCACAAGTGTCAACAATCAAAACACAACAATAAACGTGTGAAAAACTCTATTTCTCATACCGTTTTAGCGTATGCAAATGGAGATAAGTATATGCGTGACGTGTATTATCCAATAATATCGGATAAACAATGCAACGCTCCGCCCATACTGAGATGGTGTATACGCTTCGCTTGTTGACATTTAGACTGCATTGAATTGACCTTGAACTTGATCAGCCATTAAATCAATCGTAACAAATAGATGTAGTTTGTTTATTTCAAATGAAAAAATGCACAACAGAAAACATCTTCACTAATAGGGTTTTCGTGTTGGAGACAAGGACAAACAACGGAGAAGTTAAAAAATTTTGGAAAAAATGTCAAACATGTACGTAATGGATCAAAACTGTTTTTTAAATAAATATCAGAAAGTTATTTTTTACATTTGCATCCATTTAGATTATCGGACAATCTCACCGAATAAAAAAGATGTCATTTATAAATTTTGACTTTTTTATCATGCTGACTGTCTTAAGAGACCATTTCATTAAGCGACCATTTTGGGTGTTTCCCTTGCCCGGTTGCTTAATACACGTTTGACTGTAATTCATTGGCAGGAAAGCATTACAGTAAGAGTACCTTAACTTTACAGTATCTCATCTTAATAAATATATAGATGAGCTTTCGGTATCTTTTTGTCAGATACTAAAGGATATTGATATAGAATTCCCTTAATTCAAATAAATTAAGGCCCATAATAATTAAATAATAATTGAGATACATGTTACTGGTTGGAAATTAAAACTACATCACAACAAAATTTACTACAATGTGTAAAGTTTCCCCATCATTTGTCACTTACTGGTACTTAAAGAGCATTTTATAGAATGCTAAAATATGACTTCATCTAATGCATCAACTGAGATTATTTATCAAGATTTAAAATAATGCAGATAATTTTCTCAAATTTTAAAAATTACACAGCAAGGATGGCTTTAAGCTTTAATTACTTTTTATTGCACAGCTATACCATTTTATGTAAGCTAGATTTTCAGGACAAACAGTGATTAAGATTCGACAACATATATTTTCAACGCACCTGTAATAAATCTAATTGCACACGTCCTTCAATATTTATCACTTTATTTTCTCTTTTTCCCATCTGTTTGCTCTGTATGGTTGACTCTCTAATGATCGACTTAATGTCTCGTATTCTACCAAGGAATATAAAGTCGGCCACCTTCAGATGATTTGCTCGGTTTATTAGATATGGCAGATCGAAGTTCTGTATATTATAGCCTGTGATTATATCTGGATCCACCTCTCTTACAAATGCTGCCCATTTCTGAAATTTGAAACACTATCCTTGAAAACTTTCAATTAGACAATATATTGCCAACTTGGTTTATACAGAATTTATTTTAGTTCAATTGTGTAGGAAGCTACAAGCCTAAAGACACCCATTGAATCTCTACCAGTCATAAAAACAGTACTGAGCAATGAGTAAACTAGGAAACAATGACTTGCCCCTGACCAAGTTTGAACCCTTGCCACTAGTGATCATTGAGTCTAACATATTAACCACTCGACCATGTCACTACACATAGCGAGCTAATGATCATATCCTGTTTTAAATTCTTGACCTGCATCTAGATGATGCAGCAATGATGTGTCAAACCAGAATGCAAAGTTTTCATTGCTAAGAAAGATTTAGCATCACAATGAAATGAATATTCTGTCATGTTAACAAGACAAAATGATTATTATTTTGCTTTGACCTATATTTTGGATTCTTTGTTGTTAGGTTTAAAACACACAGACACTGACACACAGGTTTTATGGCCACTTTCAGGCTTTATTTGTAGAAGCAGACCTCAGGTACTTCTCCTTGTATCATTTTTCAAGCATGAAAAGGCACCTGATCAGAACCAATGACCTAAGGTAGCTGGATAACAACTTTCGAAGGTTACTGGTGGAGGAAGACATCAGGTGTTCCTCTGTGTATTTTTTCAGGCACAAAGTACACTTGAGTAGAACCACCAATGTTCCATAAGCTAGCTTGATAGCTTCCTCCCATGAAAGAATCCAAAATCCCTGGCAAAAAACTAACTCACTGCGGTGAGGGTCAAGGGGTTTGAAAAGAAACACTTGGCCACCGACGCCCCACGATTCAAGTCAAGCATTTCAATTAAAAAGCCAAATAATAAGAATAGACACCCTTTCCTTTTTCAAATTTTTTTGTTAACTTACTGATAACATTTCTTTCTCTGTCATGTATGACAACACTTGAGAACCAATCACTGGAGCACATGTGTTCAATGTGAACACGTTTCTGATAAATGGGGCGTGTTCACCTTGTCTGATAACCATGTTAGCTATCTGAATAACCGGATCTTTATCAGCCTCCGGAAACACTCCTGCAAATTAACGAAAAATAGTCAACGAAAATTTATCAATCAAATACATAAACATTCAGTTGTTTATTGTTCAAATATTAAAAGGTATTATGACAAATCAGCAAAATCCATTTACCTTTTCTATTGTAAACACATGTCATGTGATTACCAATCCCAACTCTGGATTAAATGAATCTCATTATCGAAATTGAAAAATTAAGTAGTTAACACTATAGACATTGGTCAGACTGCATGAAAGAGAAGTTGGACTGGCACTTCACAGGTGATAAAGGTTGTAAACTTTCTGTTCAAGCATTTCATGTATAGAAATAATGAAAATAAATCTAATATTTAAATTTGCAATTTATAAAACCCGCTTAATAGAATCTCTGAGAAAAGTTAAAAATTCACTTTACCTCAGACTAATCTAGGAAACAAATGTACCCTATTCTTAGTAAAAGAAATACAATTGGTATCTTTTCTTTCAAAATCCTTTAAATGTACTACATACAACATAGTTTCCTTTACTGTTTCTTAAGTCCTTACAAAACAATCTTACCTTTTCGTCCAGCACATTCTATATCAAAGCTGAGGATTCTGAATGGAGCAACTTTTGACCAATCACCTTCAGGTATATGTGAGACAAAGTCTTGCCAGGAAACATCGAGCTCGATCTGGCATCGAGATTTCAGAGGTGGTCGCTTGGCATCAGATTGGTTCGAGTTTTCCTTGTCTCGAAGGGAGTACTTTCCTGCAGGTACCTCGATCCAGTTACAGCCCACAACATTACTGTCTACCATAAACCTTATTAAGGAAAAGAACTGACTTAGCATGTGCAAGCTTTATGGAAAAGTAAAGATAGAAGTTGCTTTTCACAGACGAAATTTTTTTGTCAATTATTTCATATAGATAACAATTAAATGACTATTAATCCTTAAAGGTAAAATACATTAAACTTATAACAAGAGCTGTCAGTAGGACAGCAACGCTCGACTATTCTTAGTGCTTGATAGTAAAAAAAATGCTTGATACAGTTACCTCTTCCTGTAAACAGGTTGGGGTCATGATGGTGAACAAGTGTGCAAAGTTTCAAAGCCATATGTCAATGGACTTTGAAAATATTTGAACTATTACAAAAACTTTAACATAAATTCTAAGTCGAAAAAGGGGCATAATTCTGTCAAAATGCTTGATAGAGTTACCTCCTCCTGTTTACAAGTTGGGGTCATGATGTTGAACAAGTGTGCAAAGTTTCAAAGCCATATGTCAATGGACTTTGAAAATATTTGAACTATTACAAAAACTTTAACATAAATTCTAAGTCCAAAAAGGGGCATAATTCTGTCAAAATGCTTGATAGAGTTACCTCCTCCTGTTTACAGGTTGGGGTCATGACAGTGAACAAATGTGCAACGTTTCAAAGCCATATGTCAATGGACTTTGAAAATATTTGAACTATTACAAAAACTTTAACATAAATTCTAAGTCGAAAAAGGGGCATAATTCTGTCAAAATGCTTGATAGAGTTACCTCCTCCTGTTTACAGGTTGGGGTCATGATGTTGAATAAGTGTGCAAAGTTTCAAAGCCATATGTCAATGGACTTTGAAAATATTTGAACTATTACAAAAACTTTAACGTAAATTCTAAGTCGAAAAAGGGGCGTAATTCTGTCAAAATGCTTGATAGAGTTACCTCCTCCTGTCTACAGGTTGGGGTCATGATGGTGAACAAGTGTGCAAAGTTTCAAAGCCATATGTCAATGGACTTTGAAAATATTTGAACTATTACAAAAACTTTAACATAAGTGGTTACGCCGACGCTCGGGTGACTGCAATAGCTCTACTTATTCTTATCGAATAGTTGAGCTAAAAACTAATCTTAATGAGATTTGATGATTTCTGTTTTATACAGACTCCAAATTAATTGAACTTAAAGTTACCTTAAACACTTATGATTTTTTTTCAAATGATTTATTGTAAGTTAATTTAGAGATTCAAACATGTTGTGTTCAGAGACATATACTCTGGAAAGCACCCTTAGTTAATACCCTCAAGCAACGATACATCACATTTACCTTTATTTAGAAATTCAAACATCTTTCTATGACCATCGAATATGTATTTGTTGCATACATCAATTCAAATATTCAGAACCTATATTAAGTTTCTTTTTTGTTATGTTTTACCTTATTTCAAAATCAATGTTAGACTCATAAGATTGGAAGCCATATTGTCCGTAACCAGGGCAGTTAAAACCTTGTTCAAGTAATCTCTTGGCTGGAGCTATCAGACGCTGTAATGCCACTGTTATCTTGATAAATGGTATCTTTCTGTTGCCATGGAAACCATAAATACCTGAAATTTTTGAAAATAATTTTTTTTTAATGATCCTTCAAAAGCAAATTGATGGAAAAAGTACAGCGAATTTCAATTCTGAGGCTTTTGCATAGAAGCTAAATTGTTCCATCAATTATAGAATTACTTTAAGTTACAGCATAATTTGCAATGCCATCTTTCTGTTTTGCGGAAACACTACTGGTACCCATAGAAAGGAAAATTTTCACATCATGACTATTATGGAAAGCCAACATTTTGAAGCAAATTCATGCACAACTTTTTATTTTGAGAGCCATGATAAAAGTTTTACTTACTCTCTTTTATAACAAGTTCAACACCAAGAATGGCCCTCACTATTTCTTCCTTATTGGACCTAAGATCACCCATAACAGCAGTGTTCAGTGCATCCTGGGAAGATAAATAAGTTTATATAGGTTGTGTATCCATGTAAACAAATAAGGATGAAAGGAAGAAAAAATAAATATTTAAATGTTTTTAAATTCTTTTCATATAAATTTCTTTTAAAGCACTAAAAGTTGTCATATTACTCAGCACCATCATTTTATGAAGCTCTCAATTTCCCAAATACTTACTTAAAGATCCTGGAACTCAATTTTTTTATGGTTTTATAGCATAAATATAATGCTCAAATGAAGATTTATCAATATTGTAAGTTCCAAAAAGCATTACTTGTAAAGTTATTAGCGAATTTACAATGCATTTTAATAAAGGGAGGTAATTAGAAATTTACTTTCTATAGAGTCTTAGTCAAATGTTTCAATAAGAAATAAATGCATATATTTTAATTATTACATATGTGGACAAATAGTTGCAGTACATATTTTACATATTCTTTGATGTTTGAAAATTTCATTTAAGTGTGGTAACAACCAAAATTACAACATACAGGATCTTTAATAGATGACTTTACACATCTACACATGAGAAAACATTCTATAAATTGTATATAAACAGATGAACAATGTTTGAAATACTCTTATATATATATATCACACTAACCATAAATTTCTTGCAGTCATCTTCACTAAATCCTGGATATGCCGGTACAAAGAAGTATGGAGTAAAGCCATGAACGTGTGCAGTGACACTGTGACCTTCCATAGTTATACCAAACATGCGAACCACAGGAGTCGGACCAACTGTACAACCAGGCATGCCAGGCATGTGTTTACCTGTCAAAAAATGTTCAAATCTTCAAGTTCAACTGCTAGTTTACTATTTTTAACAATTTTAACAAGAGGGCCATGATGGCCCTGAGGTCGCTCACCTGTATATAGCCACCCCCCCCGGGGCCAATTTTACCCAAGGGCTTTTATTTGTTTATTTGAACAGACTTGGTAGACACCCATAAGTAGATGTTTCATGCTAAACATCTAAGTTCTAGCTCATTGGGTTTTTTAAAAGAAGATTTTTTAAGTTTTTACTATACACATATAGTTAAAAACAATGACACCCCTGGGGCAGGGCCAGTTTTGACCCCTGGGCTTTTATTTGAACAAACTTTGTAGATATTTACTTAAAGATGTTGCATACTTAATATCTAAACTCTAGCTATTTGGGTTTTTTCAAAGAAGATTTTTAAGTTTTTGCTATACACATATAAGGAAAATCAATGACCCCCGGGGCGGGGCCAGTTTTGACCCCAGGGCTTTTATTTGAACATACTTGGTAGACACCCATTAGAACATGTTTCATGCTGAATATCTTAGCTCTAGCTCTTTGGGTTCTTTAAAAGAAGATTTTTTTAAGTTTTTACTTTATGCATATAGGGAAAATCAATGACCCCCTGGGGCGGGGCCAATTTTGACCCCAGGGCTTTTATTTGAACAAACTTGGTAGACATTCACTAGAAGATGTTTCATGCCAAATATCTTAGCTCTAGCTCTTACGGTTCTTTAAAAGGAGATTTTTTAAGTTTTTACTATATGCATATAGGAAATATAAATGACCCCCCGGCGCGGGGCCAATTTTGACTCCAGGGCTTTTATTTGAACAAACTTGGTAGACACTCACTAGAAGATGTTTCATGCCAAATATCTTAGCTCTAGCTCTTTGGGTTCTTTAAAAGAAGATTTTTTAAGTTTTTACTATATGCATATAGGGAAAATCTATGACCCCCTGGGGCAGGGCCAATTTTGACCTCAGGGCTTTTATTTGAACAAACTTGGTAGACGCTCATTAGAAGATGTTTCATGCTAAATATCTTAGCTCTAGCTCTTTGGGTTCTTTAAAAGAAGATTTTTAAGTTTTTACTATATGCATATAGGGAAAATCAATGACCCCCCGGGGCAGGGCCAATTTTGACTCCAGGGCTTTTATTTGAACAAACTTGGTAGACACTCACTAGAAGATGTTTCATGCCAAATATCTTAGCTCTAGCTCTTTGGGTTCTTTAAAAGAAGATTTTTTAAGTTTTTACTATATGCATATAGGAAAATCTATGACCCCTGGGGCAGGGCCAATTTTGACCCCAGGGCTGTTTTATTTGAACAAACTTGGTAGACACTCACTAGAAGATGTTTCATGCCAAATATCTTAGCTCTAGCTCTTTGGTTCTTTAAAAGAAGATTTTTTAAGTTTTACTACTATATGCATATAGGGAAAATCAATGACCCCCTGGGGCGGGGCCAATTTTGACCCCAGGGCTTTTATTTGAACAAACTTGGTAGACACTCATTAGAAGATGTTTCATGCCAAATATCTAAGCTCTAGCACTTAGGGTTTTTTAAAAGAAGATATTTAAAGATTTTTCTTTCGGTTGCCATGGCAACCAGAGTTCCGCATGGAATTAAATTCTTTGAACAATTTTTAAAGGTGACCACCAAAGGAACATTCCTGTGAAGTTTGGATGAAATTGGCTCAGTGGTTTATGAGGAGATGTCATTTAAAGCAAAAGTTTACGGACGGACGCCGGACGGACGGACGCCGGACGAAAAGCGATCACAAAAGCTCACCCTGTCACTTTGTGACAGGTGAGCTAAAAATTCAGGGTTCATACAGACTAACAATGCAAAAATTCAAGCACTGTCTCCTATTTTCCAACACATGCATAATTTTTACCAATGATCAAGTAACTTAAGACAGTCTTAGTGTTAAAGCATCGTATGTTTAACTACATGAACATGTATATTAGTAACACATATACTGATTGATATTAATAACATATGAAAAGCAGTACATTATTTTTTTTTACCATCAACTTGCTACTTTTAACAGAACAGAATTTTTTCTGAGAATTTAACAATTATTTTCCAAAATCCAGCAAATTAACAGTATGAATAGTAAAAGATGCCAATTCTTTTAAATCATATGTGAAAATTCTAAAGACAATGAAAGTAATAGATTCTTAATAATTAATCTAGATAATTAATCTTAACTTATACAGAAAGTTTGCTATATGTTTATCTTAAGTTTTACCTATATAGTGATCTAAGTCAATCTGTTGAAATACCAAAGCATCTTTTTTAGGATCTATGGGTGGTACAGGAGGGCGAGCCCATTTCGCGCTCGTCAATTCATCATCTGGTCCAGGAGCTAAAATTTATTAAGATTCACAATAAAGTACATTTCTTAAATGTTACTAAGGATCTTCTTTAAATAATAAATATAAGCTGTGTGGATAGTGTTCTTATTCGTTTTTCAGACCCAACTAATGACAAGAGCGATCAGTAATCACATGTGTCGCCTCATGATGGCCAATTTCATGTTGGACAATTTTGTGACAGACGGACAGACAGACGGACAGTGCACAACAAGACTAACCACTTTGTACTGATCATTCCTGTAAAGTTTGGATAAAATTGCACCAAGTAGTTTATGAGGAGTAGTCCGGACAAGCTTTTGCGTATCTGGCAACACACAGAAAAAAAACACCTTTTTATCAAAGGGCCATAACTCGGCCAAAATCATTCAACCGGAAAACCCATGCAATATGCGCAAGGACTTGAGCTACAGATCAATCCTGTAAAGTTTCATTGAAATTGCATAAGTGGTATAAGAGAAGTAGTCTGGACAAACTTTAAAAATAAAAATTATTAAAGGGCCATAACTCAAACAAAAATCATTGAACCGGAAAATGCTGACAATATGCACAACTAGACTTGGTACTGATCATTCCTGTAAAGTTTGGATGAAATTGCACCAGTAGTTTATGAGGAGTAGTCCGGACAAGCTTTTGTGTATCTGGCAACACACAGAAAAAGAAACCTTTTTATCAAAGGGCCATAACTCGGCCAAAAATCATTCAACCGGAAAACCCGTGCAATATGCACAAGGACTTGAGCTACAGATCAATCCTGTAAAGTTTCATTGAAATTGCATCAGTGGTATAAGAGAAGTAGTCCGGACAAACTTTAAAATTAAAAATTATTAAAGGGCCATAACTCTGACAAAAATCATTGAACCGGAAAATCCTGACAATATGCACAACTAGACTTGGTACTGATCATTCCTGTAAAGTTTGGATGAAATTGCACCAGTAGTTTATGAGGAGTAGTCCGGACAAGTTTTGTGACGGACGGACGGACAGACAGACAGACAGACAGACGGACAGACGGACAGACAGACGACGGAGAAGTGATCCCTATATGTCGCCACTACTCCGTAGAGGCGACACAAAAATTGTATTTTTCCAAACATTAATAAAGTATCACTTTTCTAGCTTTAGTTGATACTCATTTTCCCCCCAATTTATCTAATTTTACAATAAATTATATAAGGTTGGTTTTACCCTCTTAGGTGGAACTGAATTGTTCTCAAAAATAATGGGGAAAAGTAATGTTGGAAATCAAAACATTACCATAAGTTAGTAGGAGTAGACACAAAAAGAGTGATCTGAGAGGCACAAATAATGTTCAAAGAAGAAGAAAAAGGAAGAAAAAAAGTTGCCTCTTCTGGGGCTTGAACCTGCGCCCCTAAGTTACACTGCAGTTGACAGTAGTTCTAGCCTATTTGAATACTCTTCAAAATAGAGGTAATGCATTAGGTGGATCATACCTTAAGAGTAAGACATGTTAGTTACAGGAAACTATATAAATACTAAACATATATTCTTATGATTAAAGCATTCAAAAATAATCAGTATATCAAGAGATCTTTACTCCTCATTTACATGAATACAGAAACTTAACTACCTTTTAATATGTGCCAATATCTAGGGTCAGGTAACAGAGACATTGTTATAGTCCGAGATATATGTATTATCTATTTCAACCTTTTATTGGTTTTCTTTTTTTTCTTTTTTGTGATTTTTTTTTTATTGGCTCAACGTTAAACTTCCTTGTTGAGGTATTGAAAATAACATTCTTATCTAAAGTGTATCATTGATTGAAACAAATACTTAGTATTAAATCTCTTACATTTTAGATTATGTTTTCAGTGATTTTATGTGGTTTAAAAGAACACTATTATATGTAATGGGTATAAAATCTTTTGGTTTTAAGATTATGTTTTCGGAGATTTTATTTTTGTTTATAAGAACATATTTTTTTTGATAGTCAACCATTTAATGTTTTGGTTTTAAGACATTGTCAGAGTAATTGTCATTTAGGTAAGAAAAAAGATGTGGCTGAAGTTTCCAAGAGGCCAAATGTAAGTTGAAATAAATTTACTCAAATACTCTTCAGAATGAAATCAAAATCAGTTCTAAGCTACTTCATCAATATTAAGTAGTTTTAAAGCTACTATCTCACACATTGTAAAAAATTGTTAAAAGGTAAAATTTCACCACAGACTTGTACATTTATATGGAGCTAGATGATAAATACATGTCTTGTCAGACGAAAAAACATCTAAATTTTCAAAGTGTTTGCTTTATTTATCTAACTGTAATTTTAAACCGTTGCAACGTTTTATTTTGTAAATATTGACCTAAATTATAAACACACCTGTTAACTATATGCAAGTTGATCAGTTTGTTTCAGTTAGAACAATTGTGTGCTTGGTTAGTTTTTTATCCATAATTGCGCAATTGATTGCTTCACAATATACCATTAGAAAATTATGTCAATAAAAAAAGACAAAAAAGAAGAATATATCTGGGCAATTCCATTTAAAACTGACATTTACATATATAGTAAGTTCTACCAGCATCAAACTGTTCTACTAGCTACATGTTAATGGGTGTGATAATAGGGGTGTTTTACTTCTATGCATATTTTATAACTGTCAATAAATATGTTGATATTTTTTTTAAATCTGTTTTGTGAGGGAGAGAGCTTTAAAGGTAGAGAGCAAGGAAGTTTTTCAAACTTTTCATGTCTTCAAAGTATTTCAAGGCACAGTATTTGTAACCTAAGAAAGATAACTTTTCCTTGAAACTGTATAAAAGGAAATAAATTTACTGTATAAATGCAAAATATGTAACAAATTTACTCTATATAAAGCATATGTGTTGTAGTAAGACAAGTGTGATTCAGTGTGGTTTTCCTTTTTTTTAACAATTGAGTGCTCCAATATTGTTTTTTTCCTCTTACTTTATCATAATTTAAAACTGGCAGTTTGTCAACTCCTGGCATATCTTCACAATTGAGCAGCCCTTTTTATAGCCTATACAACTGTATAAAAATCATGATTTTGATACCTTTAACACAGATCTGGGTACAGGTGACATTTGTCTCCCATTATCATTTTAATCAGCAATAATTACCCTATGAAGACCAATATAAAGTTACCTGATGATTCAACACCTTCCATTTCCATGTCATCCATTATTGCCAACTCTGCTTCAAAATCCATCTCATCGTCATCATCAACTCTATAAAACAATTACAGTCGATATATATATATATATATATATACAGGGTTGTCATTAAGAGGCGGCAGGAGGCCAAAATGCCTGTCTCAAATGCATTAATGGCCGCCTCAAAATTCAGAAAACACTCTTTGTTATGCATGATAAAGACAGAAATGACCGCCTCAAGTTCAAAACAAACCTTCTGCAAAAAATGTTAATGACAACCCTATATATATATATATATATATATATATACATTTCAATTAAAGGAACTCCACTGAGGTCAAAATGCCTAAAAAAACCCATAAAATTTCAAAATCTAACGAATATCAAGTGAAACACTATAAATGGACAAACCTGCAAAGGATAACAAAGAAATATAGTCAGAATTAAGGAATCAATGTTTGTACAATTCTTGACCAGTCTTGAGAGAAAAGCGTTGCAAAGCTTTTCATTTTTAGGTCTTTTTGTACAACAAAAAATTTTCATTCTGGAAAAACAGAGAGGGAATGAGCTGAAAATTTGCATACAAATAACTGGTCCAGACTTACATCAATTGAAACAATAATCTCCGGAAAAAATAATTCCAGTTCTATCATGTCAAAATACCTCAGTGAAGTGCCTTTAACAGTAGTCCAGATTCACATAAGTTCTTTCTTGCATTTAAATGAGTAAATGTCAGTGTATTTCTTAATTGCCTGTTTCCTTTCCTTTGATAAGCAAGAAATAATAAAACTTATACTGCTGTGTGGGATGTTAAAATGTTGTGTTTTTTTTATAAATTAGACCTGTTGACAGGACAGGGTGCTTGACTATTCTCAGTGCTTCATAATAAAACAAGAGCCCGGATATTGTAGAAATTTCAAAAAGGGCCATAATTCTGTCAAAATCCAAGTGAAAGTAATATGGGCTTTGGAGGGTGACCTCATATTATGATCTCAAATAAGTGTGGGAAGTTTCAACCAATTCCCTTCAGTAGCTTTCAAGATACCTACTTGTATGCAAAAATTTAACCTAAGTGTGATGATGACACCTAGGTGTAAATAGCTCCCAATATTCTTCAAATAGTTAAGCTAATCAAGAGCACTGCATGCAGTGTTTAGGCTCGTCTCTTAAAAATTTCTATGTTAAAATGGGGCATAACTCCCGAAATATCATTTTTATAATTATGCCCTTGTCTAACAACTGATCCATGTCATGAGAAATTAGTATTCCTAGTCTGATGTTGAATGGTGGGCTTCATTTAAGATTTTGCATGAGAACTACTTCAATGACAATAGGGCAGGGTCTGTGGTCATATAAATACTTTTTCTTCGAAACAGACAAGCTTAAAATGGTTTCATGGTATCTTTTTTTCCATACCGCAAATACAAGGCCCAATCATTAAAGCTAAAATGGAGAGAATAATGTTAAAATGACAAACACAGATAAAAGAATACTTACTTCTGTTTTTTATTTGGTGGTCCCCCTGGTTTAAATTTGTTCGTCGCCATTGAACCTTTTCCAGTAAAACCTTTTGTTGCCATATCTTTAGATATTCAGAACCTGAAATTTGTAAACAATTGAAAATATCTTATTGAAGATATTCTTTATTCTATAAAGTTATTTCGCAGACAGATTCTATAAAGTAAACATTATCCAAGCACAGTATTAATTTGACACTGACAAAGAAAAGGCAAACTGAAACAATGGCACAGGTTTCAGAGGTTTTTGCAACTAACTGCCGAAAAATGTTTTATTTTATGCCAGTAAGACTAACTGTTGAGCAAGGTTGTTTACAAATCGTTCTCGGGTAGGTAAGGGGAGCTACTCTCAGCGTTCCAACAAGTTTAACATGCAACACATCAATATTAATTTAGATCCGTATATTAAGAAACAGCGACGTATTTTAAAATTGTGTTGCAAGAGTTTTTCAAACGGAAGAAAACCATATAAAATAAATAAACAAATAAAATTCCCCCTCCTATTGCATTTTTCCCCCTCCAAATGGCACCAACCCCCTTCCCCCAAAAGTGAAAAAAAACCACTGAATTTGCATATGTAACATATTTGTATAGGACTTCAAAAATTATGTGTTATAAAATCATGAAAAAGAGAAAATAATTCTCACAAAAGTGACAGTAGCCAAATATTTTTCTTTCTGTTTATGTCAAATATTATTCTCAAAAAACATACAAAGTTTAAAAGAAATATATTTATTACTTTTCTAGAAATATGATTTTTTTATGTCATAAGCCCGACTGGGCATTTTCACCAGCCTGTTGATATTGTGTTTGAATTCCAGTGTTGATATTTGAAGTGTTTTAAATGACTTTAGGTGGGAACCTTACTGATGAGATTCAGAGTTATACTTCAGATGCAGACAAGCCCGAGAATGTACCTTCAATTTTTATATAAATTTCTCAAGGTTTATAAGTTTTAAAGAAGACTGGTCATCATAAGGTTCTTACACAAGATGAATACAATGTTTTGAAAGGTTCAGGTTCTACTAATACATGTATGGAAATAAGTAACATACGAAAAGAAACTTTCGGATTTATCCAAGCTTATGTTAGTCATAATTTGACTTTAATTTCCGAATCAGCAAGTCATTGGCTTCGAATTTAACAGTGCGTAATTTTCTTTTTGTTTACTTCTCGCGAAATTATATGACAATTGGCTAGAGGCATAAACCGATACAAAAAGATAATGAAATTGGTTGTAAAGTTAAATAAATAGTACATTTACATAAACATATCATTATATACAAACATAATGTTATCTGATTGAAAGAAATTTACCATGTAACACAACAACAATTTTTGCAGAATCCGCGGAAAAACAGTACGGGAGTTCACTACACTAAAGTCCGTAATTCCGGGACATGATCATTTTAGGTCGAACATCACTAAATATCCTCAAGCACACTCATCATCTAATTATTTATTTTTCAACCTCAACATCAACTAATGTTCTCCACTGAAATGAAAACTTATTCCAGAAAGGTATTTATAAAGTAATAACGAATGAGATATACCCTGATTGGACAGATCGATATTAAATTCGTATTTTTAATGCACGGTCAAACGGAAACATATTTGCAGTGCAAGCATATCTCTGGATTATATGGAAAAAATCGTCATATGTTATCAAAACTCCAAGCAAAAGTCTTAGAGTTACTGTACACACAAATTTACAATCAAACTGAGCCAGTAGCCAAATATAATCAAATGATTTCTGTTAAAAAGCTATCGCATTATTTCTCCTTTGCAATGCATGCAGCCTTTGTTAACATAAAAAAGACTTTCAAAATAAATAAAAATTTAAAAAACTTTACTTGGGGTTGTTAATTGTATTCCCGCAATATGTACATATATAGTTGCAGGAAATAGGTAAAATAGCTGCATCTAAAAATACTTGTAAAAAAGAAATGTTTGTAACTTTCTTACAAATTCCCAAACTTTAAACTCATGACCCCTAGCTTAATTTTAACTCGCACGTAATATTACTAAAAACGAGAAAAGAAATCATTTTATGGGTTATTCGAATTTCAAAAATACTATATGATTAAATCATATTATTGTAACAGTTTCATGAAATATGCCAGAATACGACAATGAGTCTATAAAAATACAATATATGTAGATGAAGGCATGGTTTACGTCTTTACTCTTAACTGGCTTAAATGGCCGAGAATGACCAATCTGGTTAATTTAACCACCTGCTGCATGTATGATAAAGTAGCCCTGAACTTTAATCAGATTGTTAAACTGTTTAATAACCCTTGCCAGCAATAAAGTATAGTCTGACCAGGCGTTTTACTGTTGATTGAAATCCCTAAAACTATACTCGTAAATGGTATGTCAAAAATTCAAAGCTAATGAAATCAATGGTTAACATATTATATGAAAATATTATTAGGAAATTGATAAAATGTTATCTTCGCTATTTATCTTAATCAGCTGTCCAGTTTATGCACACACTCGTGTCCTTGCATATTGTTTACTTTTACCTGTAAGTACTGATATACCTGTATACTTATCAGCAATTTATCATAAGTTCACATACACATACGGAAAATAAATAGTGTAAACAACAGAAAAAACGCCGATAATTCTGAAAGGAAAGAAAAATGACAAGTTTTGATTTTTCTATCGCGGAAAAGGATTTGAATACATCCTGCATTGGTCGGAAAATTAATCACAAAGTAGTGACTGTAACTACAATGAATGATGCCGAGGACGGAGCTAGGCAAGGTAAAATGAGCTTACTCTGTCAGATATAAATGTCAAGGTCGTTAGAAAAATGAACCTCAAGATTTACTTTGCTAGCTGCTAATTATTAAGTGCTTAAATTAAAAATAATGTGCATACCTTATCAAATCAAATCCCATTGGATAACTGTAACCATCATTTTAAAATCTTTTTCGTGAATTTAAAGTTGCATTATATCAAAGGCCCATTATGCCACAGAAATGCTTTAATTTTTATTTCTCAAAAGATTTTTATTTTTGATGTACTTTTATGGTTTCAAAAATGTTACTCATTGGCCGATTTCCTGAGTCATCATTTTCTTCTGTTGCTTTTTGGCAATTATATTAAGTACTGTTATAGTGATTAAGCATTTTGTAAGGATGTAAAATGCTATTTAGTTAACATTTTGCTATTTTCATGACAACTAATTTTACATTTAGCGCTAATTACTTCAGGTAGCAAGCATTTAACATGCTTTACCACTATTATATAAACGTTATAAAACTCATGCTTGCCTTATCCAAAGAAGTAAACATTTATTTCTGAGGCATAATGTGCCTTTAAGACCATATTTAAGTTCTTTATATGAGGCATATATATACAGCAAAAAAGCGTTTAAGATTGTGTAGGCGGACTCAGAGAGCTTTAGCAAACCTTAACGATAGGTGAACGGAAAGTTGCTTACATGGACAGCTGCTACATATGGATAAAAACCTCGTTACCTCAATGGGGACGAATATTGCGGTCCGAACCGCAACATATGACAGACATTATTATTCTTGTAGGTGATCCGCATGGTACAGTATATATAGCAGATGTAATGACTGATGGTAGAGGTACTAAAGGCAGAAACTGGGTGGCAACAAGTAATGAAAATCTATACATGTCAATTATTCTACACATGCAATTATTACAGGTAAGTGTAAATTGTAGTAATATTTTACGTGTTTTTTATTAAGTAAATAAGAAATAGATTTTTATAAAAGATTTCTCGCCAACACTTGTGACGATCATAAAACAATTTGTAATTTGCAATTCACATATAAAAGGGATGTTTCTGCAGATTTGTTTTGTAATCCTTAAAATAAAGAAAAACAGAATCCCTAAAGAAAGCCCAACACGGCAAAATTGAACATGTTGCAGGCTCGGTTTGATTGTGATACCGTCCACACCTCTAGCACCAACTTAAGCAGAATTCAACATTTTAACACGGAAATGGTGAACTCTAAAAGCCTCCCTAAATATACATTACTGACATCTATAAAATGACGTCCTGTACTTCATAACGCTTTTATTTTCTTCTGGTCGTTGGGTATGAATGATTTTACAATGTGTTGGTCATACTGACACCATAGTAGAAACACCGACCTTTTTAGCTATTTGTATACAGCTTTCCCACATGAAATAATAAAAACACTCAGGCGGGATTCGAACCCACAGCGATGAAGTGCAACTTATTTAAAGTCAGCAACCTTAACCACTCGGCAACAGAGACCTCTACTATTATTAACAGTTTACATGAAATATTCAACCTATTTCAGGATGAAGATCCTTCTGTAAGTCGACGTAAAGAATTCGACATAGACGTTGCCGGTGCTCTTGCATCACTGCAAGCTCTGGAAGAAATTGGTTTGAAGGAGGTGAAGATCAAATGGCTTAATGACCTTTGGGTAAAAGGGCATAAAATTCTCGGCGCTCTTACTGAATATAAAGGCAAAATTACAGGTATCTGTCTTAGCATGTACTTGAATGGCACTGGTGAATCAAAGATTTTTGCTCTTACTAAATTTCAGTATTGTTATATTTTTCTGGACCATGCATTCCAAGACTTTTAGTGTATAGGATTAAATACATCTTAAACGGATGCTATTGGGCACGAGAGTTATAGCATTTTCCATTATCCGCATGAACAGCCTCAAAAACCGTGTCTGCAATTGTCAACTTTTGTTTTGCTTGTCGAGTGATATAACCTTGCTATTTTTTTGTTATTGATATTTTGAATTAAAAGAAATAATGCAAATAAATTAGAATATGACTGACTACATGTATTTCATATCTTAAAATACAGGTTTAGTTCGCTCACATTAATTTTGTAAATTCGGTTTAAGCTGCAGTTTTCCTTAAATATGGTATCTCTAAATTTACTGGTACGATAGAATTACTTCATTGCTTCGAATTATAAATATAATAATTTTTCTGCACTATGATGGCCTAGACGAATTGATTGTGAATTCTCAATCTTAGCCGCACAACGCGGCAATCTATTTGTAATCCACTTTAATTGCGAATAACTTTTTTTTTTTTTTAGATTTTATTACAATACATTATAATACTCTTTATTGATAAAACAGGTTACAAACATGGTAACAACATGACAATTTATCTAAAATATTATTATTTTAGCAGTCAATCATATATCTATAAATATAACCATAACTTGGTTTCAGATCTAAATATACTTGTTGCGCTAGATCGACCTTATTTTCATTTCAAAATTAAAATAAACAGTAAGTTATAACTCTTACAGTTGATTCCAGAGATGTACACTTATATGTTCTTGGTATTGGCTTAAACGTTAATTGCGACATGCGAAGGGATCCAGTAATGCATCGTATATCAACAAGTGTGATGTGCGAGCTCGGAAGAAGTGTGTCAAGGGAGGTAATATTTGCCAAAATATGCAACCATCTTGAACCTCTATTGAAAATGGATAGACAAGAGTTGTTAAAACTATACAAATTGCACGAAGCTTTTCAATGTGGCGACAAAGTGAAAGTTTATAAGCAGGATAATTCAGTTGTTAATTGCACGTTTAGAGAGGTCAACGACGATTGGTCTGTGGAACTAATAGGTTGTTTTTACACAATTTGATTTTTTTTTCCATTTTTTATTAAGATATGTGTGTTAACTAACATTTAAATAAAAAAAGTTAACTATAATAAAAACGTTAGACAAAAATGGTTTCATTGTAATGCTAGAAATACGTGGGCCAAACATAAAATAGCATGTTTCCTTTTCCTTACTTTTGTAATGTCTGACAAATTAAAATTTTTTATTTATATAGAAGCCACCTATACATGCTGATGAGTGTATATATAAGCGCTTATTTTCCCCTCTCTCTCTTTACTCTTCGAAAAGGTGTTCACTGGCTTCTTCAATTATATCAGATATGTGGTAGTATTTTTGTTTAACTAACTTTAACCTTATATTAAAAATGTTTTGTTTCACAGAAGATGGTCATTGCACACCCGTTTGTTTTCCATGTACTGAAATTTCTCTGCGACAAATAAGAGCAAAGGTTGTGTACGTATTAAATGGGCAAGATTTTCATTCTTGGAGTTCAGAATGTTTGCTGAAAACATGCAATAGTCTACTTGATATACAAACATACGAAGTGAAATCGATATCGGCAGAAAAAGTCAACTTTGGTAAGTTTCGCATCCTATATATTTATTTTAATATGTATTCGATAGCAGCCATTTTAAATGTGAACAATTAATTTTCTTATGTACATGTATATACAATATTCGTGGCGGCGTGGCCAAGTGGTTAGCAGATTAAGGACTGAGTGCTAGTGGTATCGCATTCCGTCAGTTTCCTCGACACTACATGTAATTGCTCAGTAGTGGTTGGTTCTATGTATAGACTTAAGAGTGAAGATTGTAGATTCCAATCAATCAACCATAAATTATTTTTTTTAAAATATAAACTAACATCAGTGAATGGTCGAAGTTAATTATAGAGTTCATATATGATAACCTCTTTGAATAAATTGTCACGGATTGAACTTTGACAAACTTTGACCGGTATCTTTAATTATGATCGCATGCTTATAAACAATTTAATCATTTCTTCATCAATTTATGAGTTTGTTCAGTATATTTTGTACATTTTAACCAAATCTCGTATAATGTAAACCTAGAGTCATAAGATTGACAGAACAGTGGCGCGGTGGGGGCACCCGTGTCCTATGGACACATTTCTAGTTAAACAATACTCGTATAATTAACATTTTTCACACTCTTTCCAACTCTGTTCATTTATGATAATCACTGGTGCGCACATTTTTTTCTTTTTACAATTTAAAATCATCTGTGCGAACTTATTCCAAGTCATATATCACTTGTAGTGTAATATTTTCTTAATAACACAAATCAAATTATACCTTAAGCGAAGTTGAAAAGTACTTACAAATGGCAGGCTCAAGTCACTTTAACATTACCTGAGGCTCTTCCTTAATGAGAAAAAAGTGTAAATGTAGGAGCTATAAATAGTAAATTTATAATTTGTGGCAAAATTTTTGTTTCTATATATTTGGCTACAGTTTGTCTCTATTACAGATACCATGACATCATGTGCAATGGTAATAATTGGTCAACTTACGTCCGTACCAAAATCAACGCCAAACTATATGACTATAATAGAGGATTATGTTAAGAAAGGAGGATCATGCTTGGCTATTGGCAATGCTTGCTCTCTGTTTCAATCTGAAGATGGCAATGAAATAAAAGGTAGACTCAGCTTGTTATCCTTAGCTATAACTTATTTTAAAATGTATTTTTCTTGAATGGTTAAACCATTGTCGAAATGTTTCAAGTAGTATGCGGCATGGAAATGGCAAGCAGCAAATGACAATTAGAAAGTAGCAAGCAAGTAGCATGGCTGGCCGACATTCCTTATACAATATTGTTATGTTTTTGCTGTAGTTTTTAGTGAAATTTGCTATTGAGTATTGCTGTCAAATAATTTGTAAAGATATCAAACTTTATAATTACTTTTACAAACATTTGATGTGAAACGACTCGTGTATAGATAGATGGCCATAGAGAATAAAAGTCGAATACGCAAGTAACTGAGGTGTAAGTTATAGGTAGTTAAATTGTAAAAAAAGTTTTATGTCCTCTCATGGAAGACGTTTTTCTAGTTTGCATAGTTTATGTAGAGTATGTTAAAGATATAATTCACTATGTACATTGATCTAGCCCTTTATAGCAACCTTTGAATGCATTACTTTTAACAAACAATGACGAACGTCATATTTTTTTCAGGCCAACATCCTACTCAAGTTCAGGAGGAAATACCATCTATAATAGAAACAATTGTATGTAGTGTGCCCTCTTCAGAACAACGTAAACAACATGTACATTTATGTTTATTTCAAGATAATTGTCAGTTGTTTCCAACACATTATACAACATCAAATATTCTTGCATATCGTGATTTAAATACTAAAGATGATATCAGAGAGAGTGACGGGACACACATTTGTGATCAATGTATAGACAACTCTACAGATGTTGTTGTACTTGATGTAGGAAAGGGCAAGCTTTGTTTGTGTAGGCCTAACATCGAGATATGTTACGCTGACCTTCACGAGTATTTTCCGAGACTTGAAGATAAGTCAGGAAAGCTTAAAGACACTGTACATCATAGAGATCTTTTATTTCAAGATATCTTAACAAAACTTCTGTAAACATGTAAATGGTAATATTCTGAATAAAGAAACATCTGCAGATGTGTTCATACGGCAGTGATCATGGTACCGTCAATGTGACGATTCAGTGTAATTCTATGACAAGCAGTGTACGTGTATATGTTCTCCAAATAAAGAAAGTGTGTACATGTTAAGCCATTAATGCTGAATAAAATTGACACAACTAAATAAAGCAGATATATTGTTTTATAAAGAATCAGATGTTAGAAGCCACATTTCGGATTACATGTATTACTTTACAGCCACATTTCCTGGCACAGCTGCCCGCGCCATATCTAAATTCATTGAAGAATTATTAACCCAATTCAAGCGCAGATAATAAAGGAATAACCTCATTAAACGGATGTATTAAAGCAATAAAACATAATGTACATGTACTCTACATAGATTTGGATAAAATTCAATTTCTCCAACTTTTTCTAAAAGTATTATTTATTTAGGCTGCTTGGGTGTGTGAGCATGCCTATAAGAACACACTGTGGATGTCCATTATTCTAGTGAAAAAGATTTTAAAACCATACGATCGTAAGCAGTGGTATGCCTATTCAAACATAAAAACGTGGCAAAGCTTCAGCCCGATGCCAGAAATTCATTTTAAAAAAAGATTTTGAATTAATAATCTATTTCTTACAATATAAAAATTTACGGCTCGTTAAAACCTGCCACCACCTACCACAGAAAAAAACGACAAATAAAAAAAAGGTGTCACGGCTGACGAAACGGCATTTGTTTGGCAAACGTGTCCGTGGACGACCGGACCACGACTCTGACTGAAGTGCAAGAAGTTTATTAACCGTGATATGGAAAGGGGCAAGTTTTCAATGATTAAGTGGAATTATTTATGTTGATAACGATGATCAAAAAAGTAATTTCCTACACTTGTGGATACAAGTTTTTATATATAAAAAAGTGTATGATACTGACCAAGATGGGTGTTTTTCGGCTCTTGTGGAGAAATCTGTCGGCATCATGGAGTCAGTCTATGGGAACGATAATTTATTTATGGACATTCCAACAGCAACGACAAAATAAAACAATAATTCAATAGATCTATTACATATACAATTATACATTGTACATTTTCAACATTTTTGAGTTTTTGTATAATTTCACATTTCATTTGGTAAAAAACAAAAGTAAAATAAATCCAAAAAGTGTCATGATTTGTAGAATTATACAGTTAAACTGGATACTAGTATTTGCGAAATAATCTGAAACTGTATTTTGCACATTTACCAACCACTATTTAATGTTCATGTTTGGCCATTTATATTTTGTATCATTTTGATCAAGGTTACAAGGTCTAGTAAATTCTTGACCATGTTCTCGTACCCATATGTTTGCAATGTATTTATCTCCAATAACAACCGGACATGCTCCGTGTCTTGTTTCATCACATGGATTTCCATCGGGATTTAAGTTGTACCAAAACACTGCTTTTCCCTTGAAAACATAATTAAATATGTACATGTTTGATAAAAATGTCTTACGATTAATATATCAGATATAAAATTAATAACTCTGTATAGTTTTTTAAACCATTTTGGCAAAAACATCAAAGAATTTATAGTCCGTTTTAGAAAAGGGGTTCATATTATTCTAAAATAATATTTCATAAAAAAATGCTTTTTTTACGTCGTTTCGTTCTACAGCTTACTCAAGATGGAACTGTGTGTACAGTTGTAAATCTTATATTATGAGATTAGCATACATTGCTGAGTACAATACTGAATTTTACTGGACGACTGTACAGCTAGCTGCCAGAGTGTTTCGGCAGCTTTTAACGTTGTCAAATAGAAACAGTATCGTACACTACAATATAAAATGACCTCATTATTTCACACAACCATATCCTTATATTCCTATTTTGATAGGAACTTTGCGTCTTCGAAAACCGTATGAATCTTTTATTCTTAAATATGAAAACGAGGTCAGACAAAGTGTAACAGTGATTATATGTGGATTTATTTGGACTCTGCAAATGGAATCGACCCTTAATTGATAAGATTGGATCCAATGTCTTGTAGTGCAAAAGTTGAAAGTTCACAGAATACATGTATATTTTATAAGGCGTGAATTAAAATATAAATATCAAGCATACGCCCATATATTTTAGATCAGCATTTTCATTGTGTTTTTTGGCGAGGTAGCATCATACTTCCATATATGATAATCATACTGTATATGAAAATGTCAACTTCAGCGTTTTGCATAATTCAAAAACCAACACATTTGTTACCTAGCAAGATATTTGTTTTGAATTTGAATAATAAAGATGGAAAAATGTCATACCGCTTTTGGTACCACAGATAAATTAGCTTGTGGGAACACTGTTGCTCCGCCTTTCTCAACGTCCGTCAACTAAAATTAAGCAAAGCTAATATTTATCTTCATACCAAGTTTACAAATTTATTGAAAAGTCAAGGCCCAAAAGACACCTGATAACCGTTATAACGCGACTTCTATTGAATCGTGGCCTTCTATGATCAATTCTGAATTCTGCTTTGCGTCTATTAGACATCTCCGAGCTTTGTCTCGAATCTCAGGATTTCTACTAGTCAACGTCTATTCTTTGTCGATTTTAGACAATTCAAATGCCTGAAGTTTGAAATGAGATATAAGTAAGCTTGGACCCAGTGCTACTTGGGGCGTGGACAGTAGCTTGCATTATCATTACTGTGCGCGTCCATGAACAGACTTAATCAAACCGAGCATGCGTTTTTTGTTTCCTTTTTTGACATAGGCAAGTCGTAATTTCCACAAGTACCGAACTTCTTGAAAAATAATACGATTGACCATTAATCTGGCTAATGTTTTAAATGTTGACTTGTCAAGCTTCTATAAATTTTGTGGATATTACAATGAACTCTGAAGTGGGTCAGCCAGTACAGAGTCAGGTCAAAGTGCACTGGTAAGCAGACTGAACTTACTTTTAACTGGTGACAAAGATTCATAAGTTTCGGTTACAACAGGTTACGGTTTAATAAACGTTTACTTACGTATATCATAAAAGTAGCTATTCTGTGGTTACTTGAAAATATCTGAAATATAAAAGGTGATTTCTTTACAATTATTGATGTAAAAAAATATCTCCAATCTTCTGTTACATTCAAATCAGAAAATTGATGAAAAAACATGACACTAAAATTGCACTTTACATTAAACTATAAAAAGAAAAAGAAAGAGAGGTGTGACTGGGGATCAGTTGATTTCTTGTTTACTTATCTATAAATTTCATTGGTGTCCTGGTATACATAGTTTATAGTTATATAGCAATGACGATTTTCCATGGATTCTGTGCAAATCTATTAAGTATTTTTGCAATGTTTTCTACTAATATCTCCTTCTCTCATCATACTCAGATTTTTAGAATAAAAATAAAACATAAAATAGAATATATATAAACATTTATAGCGCTTATATCCCCGTCACACTGGACTTGCACCCTCGGTTCTTTTCCAGGGCGACCTATGACGCACTTGATACGCCATGAACGTCGTAGGGTCGGATTGGGAACGACTTAAGCAGCCTTTAGGACACCGTAATAACCTCAGGACGTCAATCCGCGGCCGCTGATTTGGACATGCACAATAAAAACGCCGAGGATTGGCTTTCTCATACATGTATAATATCTGTATTAAATTTGCCTCTTTTTCCGAATTTCTAACTTGATATACATACCGTCTCAATTTTACCGGGATTTTTTGTATCATGATGGGTCTCGTAGTGTCCTCCGATACCATAGTTTGCTATCTACAAAATTAAAGTGATGGATATAATGCCAAAATATTTAACAAAATTGTGCGGTAATTCTTTACACGCTATGGGTCAGATATACACACGTGTGCTCCAGCATAACACAATCTTGATTTGTAAAATTGTTGAACTGGGTTCTAAATCATACTATATCAAGTTACTAACTGGGTTTCTGTTCAATATTCTAATATTTAAAAATAAATCAAAGTTTACAAGAATAAGCGTACCTGAAAGTTTTCGAAGGACTCCCATCGCAATGAGGTCAAAGCACCAACATAGTTGTAGAGTTTTGTAATCATGCCATCGCTATGAAAAGACACCCTACAATGTGATTATGGTAAACGTGTGTTAAAAGCCTGTAAATTGCAAAATCTTTAATCATATTTTGTGTCTGATAAGATATAATTATGTGATAAGCGTTGGTATATCCGGAGTAATATCGAATGTGTGTATTATATGTATTTATTATTCTATGTATTTATTCTATTTTTAATTAGGATCCATCCTCCCGTTAAGGCCCCAAAACATGGTTCGCTTTTGAGTAAAGACGCGAGAAATGCCACATGTCATACCCTTGAAGAGTTAATTGTGAAGCTTAAAGTGGTGATATTTTCAATTCAAGTATTGGCCAAATATATGGATTTTGAGCTAAACACCACTGTATGGTCTGGCAGTACAATAACCTGAGACAATACGAAAGGATAAAGTAGCCCTGAAAAGGGCTGTTTCGACAGCAAAAGGTGACTTCGTTTATTTCTACTAACCGTCAAGTAAAATTAAACTGACAACCAATTTTAAATTCATGGTCGCATCACATATCAGAAATGAAATGATTTGATTTTGAATGGCGGCCGGTACCAAATTATTTTCCCAAAGCTAATTCTCTTATTTTAAAACAAATAAAAGCAACGCAAAGCTGTCCTCAATACCATAGTTTTAATCTCAAAACATTCTAACAACGCTTTTGAAACGGTGCAGAATGTCAACTAAAAATGGTGTCTTGGTGAGAAGCAACCATGATTGATGTTATTTTAATGGCCCTCTTTTTGCATTTTTGTGACTTCAGGGGTACATAAACTTGTACGTGACTTGCATACGTATTCTTTTATTTGGGGACCATACGCCGCTTTTCATGGAGTGGCACAACTGTGTTTAAATGTTGAATTCTGCTTACGCCGGCGCTAGGAGGCGTGGACGGTAACTTGCACTTTCCAGTACCGTCCATGAAAAGGCTCAATCAAACCGAGCCTGCAATATTTTCAATTCTGCCGTGTTGGACTTTCTTTAGGGATTCAGTTTTTTCTCTATAGCATGTTAAAAAAAGTCGTTCACAACTAAATTAACTAATTAACGCATATATAGTTTTATAGAAATTATCCTAAAGAGTTGAATATATATTTGTATCGTTGAAGAAAACATTTACATCTTTCCTGTTCTTATCTAATATTTATTGATAACATGATTTTAAGTTGCACCAATTCAAATAATTTCGGCGTTAAATTGAACACAAAATGACAATCTAATTATGTAGAAATACCAAGAAAGCTCTGTAGACATAATTATTTCTGCAAAAAGTTTCAGTGTTTAAAACCAAGAGTATAAAGCAAAACGAATAAAAAGACAAAGTGGTTACAAACCCTTTACTTGTTCTATGTTCAGAAATAGAACTAGATGTTTTATTGACGTTGACTGTAGATCTCTGCAACTAAAATAAAACAATTTATTATATACTTATAAATGAAATATTGAGAAATATTGATGAAATAAAATGCGTATTATCATTTTCCGTATTTTCACTGTAAAAAATTATTTTTCACTGCAGTGAAACATATTTTCCGTATTTTCACTGGTGTCTTGCCGGACTACTTTCTTTTAAATTCTGCCAGTACACAAAATTTAAGGCAAAGTCTTTCAAATTTTATCGCAAAAAATGAGAAAAATGTATATAATAAACAGAAAATTCAAGTTTTTCTATAAATACATGATTTATTTTCATCTTGTGGCATGAAAATTACCATATTTCACTCGTGGCTACCGCCACTCATGAAATATGTATTTTCATACCACTCGATGAAAATAAATCATGTATTTATAGAAAAAACTTGAATATCCTCTATTTATACAGTATCAAATGACGTAAATTATATCGGAAAATAATCGGAACGTATTCGTTCAAATTTAATTTTTGTAATGACACATAAACTAACAATTTTGTTTCAAAATTTTTAATAACTCAGATATAGAAAATAGTCATCATTTATAAACAAGAATAAAATATGCCCATTTAGTACTTTATTTTATCAATTATAAAAAAAATAATTACTTAACTTATGTACAGTCAAAATAAATTTAGCAATGTAATGAGAGTACTGTACTTATGTACGTAACTATGTTAAGAAAACTTGTACATGTATTTACATTTTATAGGCTTTTTCATTCTAAGTTATTTAAGTCGAAACAATCCTTATGTCAAATTTCCTGAATCCATTAACGCTAACAAGTGTTACCATAATAAATTTATTTACAATATACTTATGACAGAAATATTGAGAAATATTAATGAATAAAATGCGTGTTTTGTCGGACTACATTCTTCTAATTTCTGCCAGTACACAAACTTTAAGGGAAGGTCTATCAAATGTATATAATAAACAGACAATTCAAGGTTTTTCTATAATACAGGATTTATTGTCACTTTGTTGTATGAAAATTATCATATTTCACTTGTGGCTACCGCCACTCATGAAATATTTACTTTCGTACCACTTGATGAAAATAAATGCTGTATCTATAGTAAAAACTTGAATATCCTCTATTTATTTTGAAAAGCTCCCTACTCACGTATGGTACTATTTGTTTCAGGAACGTTGAGATGATCTTTGGTGTAAAAGTGTCATGGAAGACAAAGATTTGTGGGTCCGATGAGATAATTTCCATCTTACCAGGCTGGTATTTCAGCAATGGGTGATCGTTGTCCACGTAGGTACAAAACAAGTCTTTACTTATACTGGTGTTCTATGAATGTATAAAGTATGGAGGGTGATTTATGCCAAAATTACATCTTGCTTTCTTACGTTACATCGTGCTTTCTAACTTGTACATCGTGCTTTCTAACTTGTACATTATGCATTCTGACATATACATCTTGCATTCTGACTTTTACATGTTGCTTTCTTAAATGCACATTATGCTTTCTGCTGTGTGCGACTTGCTTAATTTTATGTTGATGTCGTTATTTAACGATCAATTATTATTCATTTGTTGATCTGGTATATTAATTCAATAAATTAACCTGCAACTGTTTGTATTTGGGTCTATTTACTCAGCTTGAATGACGAATGTCATAAGGTAGAATGCGCATAGCCGAAAGCCGAATGCAGCAAGCATAATACAACGCGACATCTGGTGTAATAATATGTGACACCCAAATTATGCTAACAGGTGGCGCTACAGTTATATTCTCGGTAAAGTCCGTATTGCGGTTCGGATTCAGTTTACCAAGTTACGTCCCTTTGTTTTAAAATTTCCATTTGCACTCATGGAGAAAATATACAAAACGATTTAACCAATTTTTATATTTATTAATGAAACTCTGTAGGTCAAATTATATTTCCAGCTGACAATGACAAGTTGCACATTTCCAAATCAATGGTTTTAGAATTTTTTTTTTCATCAACAAAATAATTATAAAATAGAACAGTTGTTCAACATTGTTCAAAGTGCTTTGGCCATAAAAAAACTTCTTATTAAAATATATATTTCATCCTCTTGAAAAGTTCTTAAATTTTGACATGGCTTATTTCCAATACCTGTGACCATCCACAACATTTTTAATGTGTTTCTATTAATTAGGACATTTTCTTGCCTATTTTTCAAACTAATTTTGTACACACGTTAGATTTTTTAAATTCAACTTGTCAAAAAATGTCTTTCTTCACTAAGTTGAAATTATTCACTAAGATGCTTTATGAATACGGCCCAGGTTCTTGTTCACAGTGTCAGCTTAAAACTGAAAGAACTGTTGCCAAAATCAGCTGATTCTCAGGAAAAAAAAGAAAACAAAATGTCAAAACTCTCTAGTCTGTCAATCTGTGAGAGTTTAGCTTCAGGACGAATGATTTCATAATATTAATTGATGAGTACATAAAAACAAAATGTACAAAAAATGTCCCAAGAAATGGTTATAAAATCAAATGAATTGTTTGTCATAGAAGATATTAATAAACATTTTTTCTACATTCTCAATGGTATTATTGCAAATACTATTGCCTTAAGGTATGAAACTTTTTTTGTTTTAAATGAGTAAGATCTGCTATACATTTCCAATATCATGAACGCTATAATTAAAGAAAACTACTAAAAAGGCATCTTCAGCCAAACATGCAATATTCATTTTATAACCATTTCTTGGGACGATTTTTGTACATTTTGTTTTTATGTACTCATCAATTAATATTATGAAATCATTCGTCCTAAAGCTACACCACGGTGCATATCTATATCGGTACCCTCTTTGCGAAATCTGCTCAAACGGTCCCCTCTTTACACATGCACAGGTCATTCTCTGCTAAAAACAAACCAGCGATGGATAACAATCCAGTAAAATTTCAATGTAATAAGGAAAGGGGGTTTGACACGTACAAAAGATATATACCACGGAACACTAAAATGTTTTATTTATGTGCTGATTTGTCATGTGCCCGTTTTTCATGTACTGCAATTATAACTTCACAATAAGCTACAAAAAATCGACATGTCTTGCCTCGCCCATCACCTCGCTGCAATGAACCGTGGGCTTGATTATATATGCATTATACATATTTAATATGTTCATTTACATATCATATTCGGACAAATGCCAGTATATATTGTCAAAAATAAATGTAAAATTCATAAAAACACCCTACTTTCGGTTTTGCAGCGTACCCTCATGGCACAACATATGCTTTTATTTGCGTTAATCGTTAAATAGGTATGTAATATTTCTTACTTTTATGTAAATATTACATACTTAACGATTAACGCAAATAAAAGCATATGTCGTGCCTTGAGGGTACGTATGTGTTAAAAAATGAGAGGGTACCTGTGATATAAAAATTCAAATGAAGAGAGGTAGCCCGTGCCGCTGCAAAAGAAAAAAAAGGCAAAACTGTCTAGTCTGATTTGACATTTTATTTTATTTTTTTTCTCAGAATCAGCTGATTTTGGCAGCAGTTTCTTCAGTTTTAAGCTGACACTGTGAACAAGAACCTGGGCCGTATTCATAAAGCATCTTAGTGAATAATTTCAACTTAGTGAAAAAAGACATTTTTGGACAAGTTAAATTTAAAAAATCTTAAGTGTGTACAAAATTTGTTTGAAAATAGGCAAAAAATGTCCTAATTAATAAAAACACATTAAAAATGTTGTGGATGGTCACAGGTATTGGAAATAAGCCATGTCCAAATTTAAGAACTTTTCAAGAGTATGAAATATTTTAATAAGAAGTTTTTTATGGCCCAAGCACTTTGAACAATGTTGAACAACTGTTCTATTTTATAATTATTTTGCTGATGAAAAAAAATAATTCTAAAACCATTGATTTGGAAATGTGCAACTTGTCATTGTCAGCTGGAAATATAATTTGACCTACAGAGTTTCATTAATAAATATAAAAATTGGTTAATCGTTTTGTATATTTTCTCCATGAGTGCAAATGGAAATTTTAAAACAAAGGGACGTAACTTGGTAAACTGAATCCGAACCGCAATACGGACTTTACCGAGAATATAACTGTAGCGCCACCTGTTAGCATAATTTGGGTGTCACATATTATTACACCAGATGTCGCGTTGTATTATGCTTGCTGCATTCGGCTTTCGGCTATTCGCATTCTACCTTATGACATTCGTCATTCAAGCTGAGTAAATAGACCCAAATACAAACAGTTGCAGGTTAATTTATTGAATTAATATACCAGATCAACAAATGAATAATAATTGATCGTTAAATAACGACATCAACATAAAATTAAGCAAGTCGCACACAGCAGAAAGCATAATGTGCATGTAAGAAAGCAACATGTAAAAGTCAGAATGCAAGATGTATATGTCAGAATGCATAATGTACAAGTTAGAAAGCACGATGTACAAGTTAGAAAGCACGATGTAACGTAAGAAAGCAAGATGTAATTTTGGCATAAATCACCCTCCATAATAAAGTAAGAACTCGTCTAAGTTAAACAAGTCGTATGCAAGAACCGAAAGTGTTTAACGTTTGCCACCAGTATACAGCCAGGTCAGCGTGTACTTCCGTGCTGTCTGGTACCAGGCTCTATATTATTGACTGACAAATTGTAATTCTCATCTTGATATACCAAAATTCATTATTGAAAGTTCCAAAAATGTTAGCTAGACTAGTTTGCGGTGATGAATAAAACTCTCGAAGAAGGGTACGTGATTCCTATATGAAAATTACAAACCTGGTTTGATCGAGTATAATGAAAAAGCGCAACATCTCTTATAATATGCCACCTAACACCGGCCTGAGCGGTACTCAATTTTTCAACAAACAGTGATTTAGATTTTACGCTGATAAAGAATTACTGAACGGTGATACAGATTAAGTCTGTTTTTATGTCACATACAAATTTCAACATAGAATTATAAACCTGTTCTGATTCTTCTAAATACTTCCGACAGTCGTTGCGGAAATTGTCAGTATGCTGCACGAATTTGAAGACGTCCTGTTTAGTATTATTCTGGTAATATCTCATTTTGTGCTTGAAATATCTGTTCTTTGGGTCTGAAATAAGTTGACAGCCTTTAGCTCATTTGATGTACATTAAAAAAACAAGCAATTTCCTACATATTGCTTATCAGGAAATTGGAGAGCTAATAAAATTCTTGATGAACCAATCTCATTTTAATCAGATCATATGAGTGGTGCATAAGCTAGGCTATGATTTTATGAACAAGTGATATCTTAAGTATTTAAAAATAGATAGCAATATATCAAACCTGTTCAAGGCCATTAGAAATAGTAGTCATGCAGCTTTAAAAACAGAATAAGTTGATACAATTTACTGTTCAAAACATGTTGGTTTTTCTTTGTTTCCACCAAATGAGGAGTTTTGCTTAAGACATTATTTAATTGGTCATACTCTACTAGATAGCATCTTAGTCAGTATATCTACAATGATTTCCAACTCATATATGTTAATTCCATATCATTACTCTATCAAACTTGTATACAAGAATAAATTTAGAAGAGTAAACAAAACTATTTTAAAGAAATAAGTCTAAAACATTTTCCTGAAGTTGTATCGACACTGTTCAGTTCACAGTCTGTTTTCTTATTAAAGAATACTACGCTCAAAATTGATATTAGACAGTATTGATAATTACTATACGGTCTCTTTGTAAATATATAATAAACATGTTTTGACTTCACATAAAGTAGATATGATATGTTTAAAACTCTTCACAATATGACAATATGGACACAACATGAATATATAAAAAGAACTGCTATTTTTTTTAAAGAAAGTACCAACTTTACTTAACTTGTAATAGTGGACGCAGCTCCATACATATTTTATTCATTCTTTTATTCAATTTAGACATATTCTGTAAGAATTTTGTATATATTTTCAATAAATTTCCATGTTTAAAATATTTTACTCAAGGATGAGCATAGTATATTTTTAACAGTCATAAGAGGCCTCTAATCATCTTGTTGCATTATTTGAGGCACGTGGAAGAAGCACCGATCATTCACAAGGCGATAAGAATAGCATAGGATCCCACTGTTTTGATCCGAACCAACAGAAACGAGGGGCAGTTGATATAGAGTAAGTCACATAGCATTGTAATTCGGTCAAGGAGGTTGCCTAAATTCTAGCGAGATACAAAATAAAACCTACTCTGTTCAACAACGTATTCATAAATGATAACAGCTTCTGCTTTGCGTTTGATCTGTAATAGACAAAATTTGAAGGAATTATTTCTTAATGATGTAAATCATATTAGAGTGATTTGCTGGCTGTCTTAATTTTTTTTAAATAATTTGTACATGACTATGTATAAGTAATAATTTACTGTTAATTAACCGTAATTTATCTGTTTCTCATGAACATTTTTATATTCTTTGATTAATTAACGCCAAACACATTGGGTATATAATTTCTTACAAGTTAAATTGATATCTTTTGCAATTGACATTTTCTTTCAATAAGGATATTTTGAAGAAAAAAAATGACCAAATTTATAAATAAGTTCTTACATTGAATGCGGACGCTGCAGCTTTACAAAGTAGGGCAGTCACGGTAGCTGTTTTATCACCCGCTTCTATTCTTTGTATTGCTATCTCTAGCCAATCAAATGCTAACATGATCTGGTCGGAATAAAATGCAATGATCATCATATCTTTACATTCGGCGGCTGTCATTTCTCTCCTGTATTGACCAAGAACATTTCCTTCGGCAAGATCGTTTGTTTTTATACCGTATGTATTTTGAATGCGAATGATTCCTCGCAAGGCCCCTATCAAATCATCCTCGGGCAGGGCGGTGAGGTTTTGTGTCAGTTGAATAATTTCAGCGTGAGCTGAAAGACAACGCATACATATGTATTATAATGTATTTTTGTATAATGTACATGATATAAAATAGAATGATTTATCGTATAACTCATGTTTAATTGGTCAACATTTTCAAAATGAAATATCTGTGACATAAACGAAAATTCATACAACTATTGAAATTGGCACACCGTTTGTAAAGTTCTTTACTAAACAGTCATAAGAAATGAAATATATTTAAACATTTGTTTGATACCTTTCTCAAAACCTTTACAACTGTCATGTTTTAATGTACATGTATAATTCTATTTAAGGCGGCACAAAGGCGTGGGCGGTCACTTTACATTGTTCCACTGCTGTTGATCTTGAGGATTTTATATTTTGACATTTATAACTATCAGAAAATGTGTTATGTTACTTTTAATGATTACCATAGCCATTCTTCTGCATTTCTTTCACAAGTTGAGTGACAGTTTCGTTGAAAATGACAGAATGATTTCTAATGAATCTGTAGGCGTCTAGTGGATGTAAGACTGTGAAGTTTGGGTTCTTAGCGTCTGCTTCCAGCTGATCAAGCGTCTCAATGAGCCTGAAGATAATATTTTGTTATTTGGCCATAAAGCCATAAGAAATTAAAGATGGAGAAAACGTTATATTGTAACGACATGATTGTTTTTAGAAACAAAATAGCTATCTGAAATGCATCATCTCATGAAACAATTCAAAGATCTTAACTTAAATAATTATTTACTTCTAGAAACGAATTTTCAACGATGTTGCTTTGCACAATGACATAACATAACACTTTACATACGTTTTCATATGTGTTAGATCCGAGGACTCCTGGTTATCTAGAACCTGTTTAAGCATTTCTATGGACTTATCTTGTCGTATCCTTGACAACTCCAACTTGATGTGAGCAGTTGATGAATAAATCTCAGCCATCGAGCAATAAAACAAAGTAAAGGCCAAAACGATTTGGTAAATCATTTTTAATCAATTATCGGCTATCACAAGCTTTTATTTACGATTTGTTTTATTAAGTATTATATGATGCAAATACTTCAACCCTTAGGCAAAAGTAATAAAACATAAAGACCACAATTTCCGCAATTTTAACCAGCTTGAAAATGATCATGTTATCAATTTCAAATAAAACAAACAAAAATCTAACATGTAACTGCATCTTTGTTTTTATAGAATTTAGAAGACTTTTTGACTGTTTGAACCGACGAATTGTACAGTTGAGTTCACACTAAAGGTTACACAAAGTGCACTAGGAGTGCACTAGAGGTGCACTACTAGTGCACTTCAAAGTGCACTAGTAGTGCACTACTAGTGCACTTCATTAGTGCACTTTGTAGTGCACCAGACCTATTATATGGATTAAGCAGTTACCTTTTATTTCAATGAATAGCAATTTGACTTTTACAAAAAGAAAGATAAATATAAATATCTGTTTAATAGCTTTTCATAATAACTTTGAAGTTGAGAATATTGGATTTTGTAAAATATGGCGTAAAATATTAAAAAAATATTTTTTCAAAGTCATTAGTTTTACTGATTTTGTACTTTAAAACTTAATTGTTAGAATAAGTATATACATATAAATAATTATTTCTTTAATGTTGATAAGTGCATAAATAAACAAAATTAATTGATATTTAATTTGATTCTATCTTAATATAATCTGGTAATGAAATATGAAACATTGAAATGCTAATTAAACAAAATTCAGTCATTTTTGATTTGTTTTTTTTGTTGTTCTTTTTTGGTGGGGGAATTATACCAATAAGTTGTTTTTGATTTTAACTTATGGTTGCTTTAGTTAGAGGTAATGATTTCAAGCATTAATAGCCTTTAATACATTAAAGAATTAATATGTTTATAATTGGCCTTTATCCCATTTATAATCTCTCTTACCTTCTCAAACTGAGATTTACCTATTAAGATTAATATACATAATATATATTATTCTGAAAATAGTTTATTATAAAATGCAAAAATAATTCAGTTTTCTTTTTGTACTACTTGATATGAAATTTATTTGCACCAACATCCAGAGAATACAGAATTTACATTGCCTACTTATAGTTATCATCTGCCTTTTGTTATTTACCCTGAGGCGCTCTCTTATCAGCAGGGTACAATATATTAAAACACCAATACACAGCATGACTTTTGACACTTTTAATCTTCTGTAACTGTTTTCTGCCCATGTGTGATATTTTATTTAAAAAAAAAAAAAAAAAAAAAAAAAAAAAAAAAACCAGATCTGCATTAATGTGAAAAGGAAGTTGAAAAAGTTTTATAATCATGTATTTAAATATTTTCTTTAAAATATATTATCTTCTATAAATGTGTTTAAACTGACACTAAGGCAAGTTTGTCAAATCTATAATAGAAAAAATTAACATTCACCAATTCAAAACTAAAAGATGCTGCAGATTTATTATTTGTAGAATTGCAAGAAATGTGGATAAATATTGATATGAGGTCTTTCTAGAATGGTTTACACTTTTAAACCAGTTTTTTATGATAAGATTAGAAAATTCCACTTCAAAGACAATAATGACAATAATATCTAACACACGTTTATGCCATTAAGATTATTTTTCATATTTGATTATTATAACAGAAATTATAATCATTTATATATGTCTTACATGTATTTTGGAAAAAAAAATAGGAAATTTTAAATAACTATTGCATACATTTGCATTTTTGTTATTTACCCTGAGGCCCTGTTGTCAGCAGGAGACAACCGCAGGAGACCAGTATAATGAAAACAGTCGCACTCAGAAAAATACCAATACACAGCATGACTTGAGACTTTTTTCTTGTATAAAAGCATTGCCTTTATACATTAAATTTTAAATATAGAAATCTTGAATAAAGTTATCAATTTAATAATTTCATGGAAAACTTTTAATTATTTATATCTTTAAAAAGTATGCAAGCAATTCATGGTTGCAAAACATACTATCACAGTGTATAGATTGTTTTAATATCAATGAACTAATATCTTATTTCAATCTTGAACATGAGGAATTGCCTCTTAAGTTATATACGATTATGCAGAATGGCAAGAAATTTGGATAAATATAGAAAATTCTGCTTTAGAGACAATAATATCTATACGCATTTATGCCGTTATGATTTTTTTTGTATATTTGATTATACAAAAATTATGGTCATTTATCTATATGACTAACAAGCCTGAGTGCCAAGGCATTCCAGGCTTATGTCTAACATGCATTTTGAGAAAACCACAGAATTTCAATGCATACTTATAATCTGCAAAATTGACTGTTCTTTGTGAGTGTATATCAAAATCCCCTTGATCATAATCCCCTTGGTTGAAAAATGACATAGTGATCGAAATCCCCTCAACAGAAATGACCGGGTGTTCATAATCCCCTTGATGGATAGTCAAAATCCCCTTGGCAAAAATGATGGGGTGGTCAAAATCCCCTCAACTTGTGAAAAACAACCCCCTTTACTCAATATTCTTTTTCCTTTGATCTTTTGTCACTCCAGCTAAACTATTGTGTTACATAAAGAAATGTTGCAAACAGCAGTTACATTGAGTAGAGGAAAGAGTATGGAGTATACTTTAGCAATATAATACAGGTTATTTTTAAATACTCCAATGTTGTCATTTTCATGTTAATATAAAATATAAAACCAGACATAATATTTCACTCTTATTTATTTTCTGACAGCACATTTTACATATGTTAGCACATTCACAGAATTTACATAGCACCAACATTATTTTATTCTGATAATCTGTCCCAGAGCACCCAAGAAGGCTTACGAGAACCTTTGTTACTTGTAATGAATTCCATTTTGGGTATTCATGTCTATTGCAGAGAGCCATCATATTATATACCCAACAAAATAACAGTTTGCAGTTAAGTAAAACAAAGATGAAGTAATTTTAAATAGCAAACTGCAATTAATAGCCTCATTTTAAGTTATTATCTGGAAAGATCTAAAGCTAGTGTGCAACAAATTTGCCTTTAAAGGTGTGCAAAGATTAATTGATTGTTTGTTACATATAACTATAATTGCAATGATTAATTATAATCAACTATCATTTATTTGTTTGTATTTTACAATTTTCTCAGCAATAATAACATCAATAAAGGGTGTCATTATTAACTGGCTGTGACAAACATACACCTTTTAATTGTTTGTATGCTTTTCTCTTTTTTTTCAGCAATTCTTGAAGCAGTTGGTTCTTAAATTCATTGAACTAAAAAGAAAAATAAGAAAAGAAATTATTTGAGGGGATTTTGACTACCCACTGAGGGGATTATGACCACCCCTTTATTTTTGCCAAGGGGATTATGATAACCCTGTCATTTCTGTTGAGGGGATTTCGATCACTATGTCGTTTATCAACCAAGGGGATTATGATCAAGGGGATTTTGAGCGTCTCCCATTCTTTGTCATTTACCCTGAGGCCCTCTTATCAGCAGGAGAGTGGTATAACGAAAACTGTTAGTTCCTCTCAGAAAATACCAATACACAGCATGACTTGTGATTTTCCTCTTCAATAAAAGTATTCCTTTTATACATTATTTTTAATATTGAAATCATGAATAAAGTTATCAAATTTATTTATTTTATGGATAATATTTTAATTTTTTTATATCTTTAAAACATATGCAAGCATTACACAGTTGAATACTAAATTTTCACAGTATATTGATTGTTTTAGCATCAATGTATTAATATTCTCTTTTAATATTGTACATGAGGAACTGTCTGTAAGTTATATATTATAAAAATAACACTTTAGCTTAAATATAAACTTTTCCTTGATTTATTTGAGCTTATGGAAAAAAGTTTATGTTGTTACAAACTAAATTATTTGGGCCAGAATTATCACATTGATTTTCCCATTTGTACACTTGAAAAATTAAAAACACTTATTTAATTATCCATTATGGAGCATATTTAAATTTAACTTTATTAATTCTATAAATTTAATTTTAAGGGGTGTTATTTTACACCTACAGTTAAATACTGGTTAGGAAAAATATGATTACAATCAATAAAAAAAATAATTTTAAGCTTTAACATGATATCACCTAAAATGTTAAAACTGCTGATTTTAAAATTTACTTATTTATATTCATGAATAGGCCATATATTCCCAAAGTTTTTTTTCTTACAGCAGCTTAACAATGGATGCCCCCTATCACTTGATATGCAATTATCCAATAAACCATTTAGGTGTCACCTTCCCTGGCCAGCCTGGTCATATGGTCTAGTGCACTAGAAGTGCACACGGTGTGCACTTCTAGTTCAGTTCTAGTGCACTAGAAGTGCACAAGGGTGGGTAGTTTAGTGTGAACTCAACTGTAACCCGGCATTCACAATTACATGCACAAAGCTTTGAAAAATGATATATAGCCGTCCTAAAGTAACAGGCCAGTTATACGTGAGTCGCACATATGATTAAATGCCGTCTTCTTTGAAAAAGGTAAGGGACAACTTTTTAAACGAGATGGTCATGATGGTCCTTCATCGCTCACCTGAGGACATGTTTAATCATTTATAACCTGGATCCAGTACATGTATTCCTAAAACGTATAAATTTTTTTCGTTCATTTTTCGGACGCCCATGTTTAAGAAAAACTTATAAGGAATTATATGAAAATTGGGAAATCTATTCTACTATGCTAAATGGTACATATACATGTATTCAACAATTCAAGACATTGCAAAATTTCAAATATTTTATTTGATATCATTTAATAAACGTTAGTATGGCAATAAGAGGTTAGTTTCAGCACTGGTAAAGTAGGATTTCGTTATTACGATAATATAACAAATGAAACTGAAAAAAAAACATGAAATAAAAAACAAAATTGTTAAGTCTTAAAGTGACACAATAATGAACATACAACTAATAAAGGCCACATCTTGTGACATTATCTTAAGTTTAAACAATATTTATTTATAATCTTTTCACTTACATAATAAAGTACAGAAATAAATTTTACAGAATGAGTAAGAAGCTTCAAAAGCTATTTTTGAAAACTTAAACTTTGTTTAAAACCTACTCTAGCTTTTGATGATCATATAAACTTCATCAAATATTAAATCTCTGAATCATAGATCTTACACTCTTAAACTTCTACAAATCATAATTTGTTAGATTCACTTAAACAAATGGGCCATAATGGCCCTAAAACACTCACCTGAATCAGAATACTTG